GTGCGGCTATATGTCGTCCACGCACGGACCATGTGGAAATCGTAATGACCCTAATATAATAGCTAATATACTCAGAAGGAAACCATTGCCTGTCATTCGCTAGCGTCAAGCCTGCAAGGAAATGACCCGTTTGGGTGGCGAGTTAATTTGTTTGAGAGCAGGTAAAGTATTGGGCCAAAGCATAAAAGCTGAGCTCCTTTTAAGAAAATGTGAAATAGTAGAAAAATAAACTTCATTTCATTGTTTTTGAATTTCATATTAAATGCTATTTACCTAAGTGTGTATCTGTACTAGCCGGGAGCGCAGTATCATTCCTCATTGCCTTTCAGGAAATAATCATGCTTGCCTTCGAGTTACATTAGCACTATTTCTCGTACCTCGCACAATCAGAAAGGATATTGAACTACACTTCGAGTTTCGCTCAAATTTATTTGCTTTTCAACAAATAGTGTGGATAAAGATCACGGCTGGCGTGACGAGACGTGCCTTGCAATAAAAATAAAACGACGATAAAGCTAAAGATAATTACAATAAAAAATAAGAGCGATGTACGTACTTATATAGGTTGATGCCTACGACTAATGTAGGTCGCAAGACATCGGTATTCAATGATGTAGACCGCACCATTTTCAAGTTGCGTGCACTGAATGACGATACCAAAGTGTTGGCCTCGTTATTACGAGTATGTCTCTAACATATTAAAATCACTAAGCTATAAGCGATTTCACGAGGCAAACGTCGATCCCGCGAGGATCTCCGTTCGCGGATGTTATGCGGCACAGTATCACTTCAGGCGCTAACCTCTGCTGCTATCTAGCGGCAGAGTTATAAGCTTGCCGCCGGAGGCCGTCCGCCGGCTACCGTTCCATTTTGACAAATGAGATCATAGGCACACCTTGCCAAAAAAGGTTCACATTTTCACGTTACAATAGCCGTATTTCGCAAATGCTTTTGTCGTCTATTTTTGTACGGCAAAATTACCAATGGAAGCAGCTGAAATGAAGCGTTTGTGACGACTGACGTGCAGAATAGAATAAGTGACGATGACATATTGCCGCTGAAAGAAGTTAGATGATAATCAATATTTGACAACATCATCATACGCCTCTTTCTGACTGAATAGTTTTTTAAATAGAACATACCCTTGAATAAGACAAAATGATGCATATGCATAAGACTACCTTGCTACGATTCAACTTCCGCCTTCCACCGTGATCCCCGTACCGAGCTAGTCTCCAAAAATAGCCCCTAGCCCTTCCGACAATAGCCGAAGAGAACGGTCTCCTCCCCATCCGCCTCTATACCTAACGACCCTCAGGCGGCTGGCGTTCCTTCCTCACCGTACCGGGTCTGAAGAGAGGGTGCCGCGCCCGACCCGTCCGCCCGCCGTCACCGCCGGTCACGTATTGACGGCCGAGCGGCCGGCCGCGCGGCCAGGTAGCGCCCGTGTCGTCACCGACCCAAAGACATGACGTCACACATGTGCCCGGTGACGTCGTTGCGAGGGCGGCGCGGGGGTGGCGGAGTCGCCTCCGGGGCGGTGTCTCCCTAATCGCTGACCTCAGGAGGGACTGCGTCGGTCCAGTCCGGTCCCAGAAGACTGTCTTACCGAGAAGACCCAGAGTTACTGTCTCTAAGCGTTGCACCCGGCGCCAGCCGCCCTTAGTTTGTATTCTGTGGTGTCACTGAGAGAATTTCCCCTCAGGAAGGATCAGGTCAGCGGACCGTTCACGCATGTCCGATGTGTCGCTATAGGACGGTCGGCAGGACGCTGGTTGCGGCTATCTACTGTGTGATTTCAATGCAGCTGAGAGAAGACAGACTAGTAAGTGATTGAACCTGAAAATGACGGACTCCGATATAACAGTTATTTTAATAGTTTATGTTAATCCGATCGATCCAGCTGTCATAGCTATCAGCCAAGGAGATCGTTTTATCGTGCAACCATTCTCTGAGCTGATTTATGAATAAATCATACGCAGATCAATTAGCAATTATATATGTATTACCAAAACAAACGACAAATTTCATACCTATTCTACAGGCATAATGTGTTTCATCGGCAGCACTATGTAGCTATAAAACAAATCAGAAAACGTTAAAATACGATTTGGCCTAGCGACAAAACTGAAAGCTAAACGCAGACGAAATGACACATTTTCGTAAACTTCATCACGACGACTGCACCAGCCAACAAATTTTCACACAAGATTTTTCGAGAGTCTTATTGACAACATTGGTATAAGGCAGCTTTCAGAGAGACATCAAGATCGGCGAGGACAGCATTGTTGGTGCCAAGGACTAAAGGAACATTTCATGTGTCGACGTCAGGTCTGTCATTAGGCGTCCATCCCGTGGGTGATAATGCAAGTAAGCAAATAAACCCGCTTCGTACGTTAAAATTTGGCTAAATCGTCATTTTTGTAACACTCCTTCACCTACACCTATAGTTACAAACGTCAGCTAATGGGAATTCCAACACTTTACATGGCAGCACCCTTTATCGACCAGCTTAAAAAAAAAAAAAATAACAAGGGCCAAAGGATAATGGGGCATTACATTCGCGCATCGTTCTAATATGTTATGTGAACCTAAGACTATTGACCAGCCAGAACCCAGATACCTTATTGGTGAGCAATCGGTACTAAACAAACGCCCAATGTCACCTCAAATACCCCAGTGTCGTTAGCGCATCAACCTCCTATATTTCACCCTCGTCGTGGACCAGCGGGCCGCGCCAGTTCTCCCTGATGTCAAGTCCGTTCCAGAAGGAAAGCCGCTCGCTGAGGGCGGCCTGTCCCAGGCGGGGCTCGGTGCTGAGCCACATGTGCTGCTGCCGGTCGGTGGTGTAGGCCGGCCAGCGCGGCATCAGGACCACGTCCGAGCTGGGGTAGCCGTGCCGCGCGAAACTGGTCCACACCGAGACCATGAAGCGCACCACCTTGTGCTCCGGCGAGCCGAGCTCGACAGGAGCGCCGATCGACGGACGGAACAGGTACATCAGCTCGTCGCCGTGCGCCACGCCCAGGTCCTCGCCGGCTGGCCGCGGCAGACCCAGCAGGGAGGTAAATACATCCAGAAGCTTAAGGCGGCCGGGCCCGGTGTGGTCCATGATGTACTTGTAGACGGGCGTGTGAATAGAGGCCAGCTCGATCTCTTTGCTAATGCTGACAGCGAAAGTACGGTCAGACAAAAGATCCGCCAATCTTTGCTTGTCGACTTCGCCCGAATGATCTTCGCCAAAGTAGAAGCGGTAAATGCTTCCGGCGATCTCTGCTGGATCATCAGTGGCATCGCCCAGCTCAAGAAGTTCGTTTCCCCAGGCCTTCAGATCTGGAGGAGAGGCGAGGAATTTCGGCGGGAGCATACCGACCGTGCCGGCGCTTTCGTCCCGTGTCATTCCATTCATCCAGGGCACTCGGTTGAAGCGCCCATTCTTCAGCGCTACATGCGGATCCTCAGGCAGGAACGGGGCCGGAGCTTCGGCGTCCACGCGGGGCAGGTACACGATCACGAAGCTGGGAATGATCGACGGCTTGTCCACCTGTGACAGAGCACTCATGATCTCCGAGGCAGGCTTCTCACGAAGACACTCAACAATGGCTGTCGAGCTGCTCGTGTCGCACCCCAACAGCTCAGCATGTCGCTTGGCATACTTTCTCTGGGCTGAGCCGCTGGCAGCGAAGTTGCTGAAAGACGCCCCTGACTGGCTGATGGCGCGGGTGAACAGCCCTTCTGCCAGCGGGCTCAGCACGAGCAGACCAATGCTGGCGCCGCCGGCTGACTCGCCCAAGACGGTCACCTCGTCCGCGTCTCCGCCGAACGCCTCGATGTTGTCCTGCACCCAGCGCAGTGCCAGCACCTGGTCGTGCAGGCCGTAGTTGCCCGGTGCCGCCTCGTCTTCTGTGGTGAAGAAGCCGAACGGTCCGAGCCGGTAGTTGAGGGTGACCAGTACCACCTGCTGGTCGAGCAGGTACTGCGGGCCGTACAGCGTCTCGTCGCCGTCTCCCATGGTGAACCCTCCGCCGTGGATCCACACCATGACTGGCAGACGGATGTCCTCCCGTTCGGAGGGCAGTCGCGGCGTGTACACGTTCAGGAAGAGACAGTCCTCGCCGCCGGCGGGCGCGCCAGTGAACATGTCCGCCTGGACGCAGCGCTGGCCGAACTGACTGGCGTCCCGCACACCCGACCAGCCGCTGTGCGGCTCCGGAGGCTGGAACCGGAGCTCAGCCAGCGGAGGCTCCGCGTACGGGATACCTGCAGACGAAACGGTGCAAGGTGATGGATGGCCTGAGCAAGGTTAACCCGCGCCGGGCCGGTGCTCTGAGATTCCGCGCCGGGCCGGGGGGGGGGTGTCTGAACACCCCCCCCCCGTCTAACTCGGCTCCTGGGCCACGTAGCGACACGCGGTAAGCGCAATCGAAAGAACGTCTAAAATAAGGACGAAAACACTTCGGTCATTTTTTGGGTCAGGTCAAAGGTCAGGTCACCAGAGGTCACCAAAGGTAAAATGTTGACTATTTCAACATTTTGGAAACTGCCAACGGCTATCTCGGGAACCGATAGAGCTACAGCGCCGCGGAAAAGCGCATTCGATAGCCCTTTTACGGATCTTTCTGAGCAATGTTCTCAGATTTGACCTCAGGTCAACGGTTTAGCCTCCAGAGGGCAAAAACTTCAAAAATAGCCGTTTTTACGAAAAGAGGTTTTTTGGCAATAACTTTTGACTCAAAAGAGCCATGACATTACTTTTGCCAGCATCGTGTTCCTCTCGTCGAGACGCGTCGAATGAACTATAATTTGACCTTGAAAGGTCAGCTTGAAAATTTGACCTCAGGTCAAGGTCATGACCTGACCGGAAAAGGTCATGTTGCATATCAGTCGATCCGCAACGTCGAGCCGAACACATCTAAGGCGTTTTCAGCGCTCTAGCACGCCTCTACCAGAAGTTATTAGCGAAAAACTGATAGATTCTGTTCGTGACCTGAGATGACCTCGGGGACATAACGAGGGGTCACAGTTGCCATTTTCCGGTTCAGTGTGTCAATTGTACCTATATCTCGATGTTTGAGAGTGTCTAGAATAGCGTTCGTGCAAAACAGACGCTTTTCAATTTTCTCCCATTGACTTATAATGGAGAGGCCGCAAAATTGACCTGACCTTAGGTCACCGATATCAAAATTCCGAGATAAACATTTTGTAGATATAGTTGCTCTTATCAATCGCTGAAAGTTTCAAGGCAATCAATCAATCGGTGTAGCTATGACGAGCATTCCTATTTTTTCTGAGGTGAGGTCACTTGGCGTGACCTGGTGACCTGACCTAAGGCGACCTGGGTCTGAAATTTTCACAACATGTGCGGAAAAGATGCACGAACAGGTGTGCCAAAAACGGCGGCCGTTTTTGAGATATCTGCGAAAAACCGCAGGGGGGGGGGGTGTTCAAACACCCCCCCGGCCCGGCGCGGATTAACTCGCAGTCATCGAGAACTGAAAGACGCATCTTTCATGATATTTTTGGTGTAAAACGTTAAAAAAAATCATGATTTACCAGTGGGTCTCTACACAATGATCATCTAAATTAAGGACGAATAAAACTGTGTTGTTCATATGGTAGCACTAGTGGCCAAATGGGCTTTGAAAACAGTTGACGTGTTTCAATACGAATTCCCGTAGGAATGCGTCATGCATCTTAACTTCACCTTTGAACGCGAAAAACTCGTTTCCGAGGAGCGAGTTGAGCGTCGTTCCTTGAAGGGTGCCGCCTGTCGTCGTCACTACCAGACTCAGGTTTCCCGCGGTTGCTGCTACTGACAGCAGAGTCAGTGCAGTCACTAGCGCCGCCAAACGGGTGGCAGTCGCCATCTGAAAACCAGCAGGCAGCTGTGTTAGGCACTTCTAGTCATGTAGCGCCGTTCTTTTGGTACCATTTCAAAGCAAGCTTACAAACAACCGGCACATTGTCATGCATCAACAAACTTCATCAGCCTACATAGATCTGGGTTTCCTGACGTCAGCGTTGCGGACAGAATCCAGATTCTGGCTTTAACCGCATATATCCAGTTTGGCGAGCACTGAAGTTCGCCGACCAGGCAGCCAAATATTAATGTTTCACAGGACTGGAATAAGCACTGTGACGGCACCCATCAAACGTTTGTGTTCAGTATTCACCGTCCACGCATGTCGTGTAAGCTTTGCTTTACTTTATTGAAAACGTAGGACTTCCTGCTATGCGACTCCTGAAGTGAAAATTTAGGTGATTGATTGGTAGCGATTCAATCATAGAGGGTCAGGGATCGCCCCTTTCAGCCAATCAATCCAAGGTCAAACACTAATGTGAGAGCCATTCCTCGGGGTGAAGTCACATCTGGGGATATATACTAACGCTAAATATATAACACAAACACATAACCCATTGAAATTCAAATGGCGATTTGGCTATTTAATTTCAAATATCGGACGATCGTTTCATCCGAGCAATTTCTTTTCTTCAAAATCTAAAAAAGGAAATATTACTGGTAAAAATTGCGATAAATCGTGTTTCCTACTGGTTCAACGAGCACCCCTCCCCTCCTCAAATAAGGAAAAAATAAGCACCTGAGTACACCCCATTATCAACACAATACATTTTATTTCATACAATAATCAGGCCTCTACTCACCGTGTCTCTCTTCACGCCTGCCGCTGTCGTCAGGTTCTGTCTCTCCCACTCACTCCGGTACCAACCCTGCGAACACAGCGTGCTACGGATGCCGCAGGACCGCGCCTCTGCCGGCCGCGCCGAGTCGCGCTGAACTCTGGCCCGCTGGCGATAGGCAAACACATACGGCCTTGGCGATGACTGGCGTATCGCCCCATCCTATGACTGTCGTGGGCTTGGGCCTTGGAGAGACGCCGTCTAAATTCAACCCTAAACTGATAGTCATCTCCGAGTGGTGTGTGTCTTTGGAAGTTCAATGGCTGTTGCTAACCAGGAGACGATGGATGTGAGGATGAAACGGCAGAATGCAGAACGTGGAGAGATGTTAACTGAGAAAATAAGAGACGGATAAACGAGACCCATAAGAAATACTGATAAATCATGTCAGGAACTTTGTTTTTATTGTAATTATAGTCTATAGATACGTAAGTAAACACTTGAAAACGAATGTAACACAACCCACAAGGTTTGAAACTTGGTTCCTTTTGTACACTTCGCTGGGAGGATTCTTTGTTGTGGGGTTCCTCAGAGGGGGGAAGATATTGTGGGATCGGTTCCCTTCTCCAATATCGTGACAAAGAGACATCACGTTAGAGCTCCGCTGTTGTTCGGATGTCCCGCTAGCTCATACGTCATAGCCCCGGCTGCCGACCCCAATATAGCCGTCAGCCAGCGAGCCGGCCCGCTACCCTGCAACCCAACCATCGATGCTTCGCTTCAGGCAACCCAACGCTGACGAGCTGATCAGTCAGAATGCATCTCTTCATCCGTTTATAGGTGCGTCTATAGGTGCCCTACCACACCATCCACCATTGCACGTAAGGCTTTTTATCAGCACTCTACCTAGCCCTGATATCTATTCACCCACCCCCGTCAGTGTCGTACCACTCTGCCTATCATAACATAACTACGCCGTGACACCGTTTCCCTTCATTCCTCCGAGCAGCCAGCCGCTGCCAATGCGCCGCAGGTCAACTGCAAACACCTGACCGGCAAACACGGACGGAGGAGCTCGGACCGGACGCTGACAAAGTCCAGTCCCCCCCCCCCCATCCCCAGTCTGTCGGGTAGACTGACCAACTGAGGGCGTCACCCAATGTGTGGGAGGCCAGACAGGACACGGTACGACAGTGTCAATGTAGTCGGGAACGCTGGGTCGCCGGAAACGGGGCGGGGGTGGCGAAATCAGCAGCTATTTAGCAGACGGTCAATGGGAACACAAAACGGCGAGCGTCCCACTCTCCTTATTTAGCAACGTCGGCAATTAGAGAAAAAAGGGATGGGGTTCTTGACGGCTGTGAACGAAGAAAATGATTGAAGAGTTATCATATGTTGTGGTGATTACGAGCGAGCGAGCGCAGCGAGCGAAGCGAAGTCTTTTCAATATAACGGAAAAATCTCAGTATGAGCGGCCCGGCCCGGCCCGGCCCGGCCCAGCCCAGCCCTGCCCGGCCCGGCCCGGCCCGGCCTGTAACGCTTTTGAGAGGCTTATATCTCAGCAACCGCTGGACCGAATGGCCTGCGGTCTTTTTTGCTGGGTAGCCCCATCCCTTCTACCCCGTAATTGACTACTTTTGATACATCTCAGTGACCGCCGTGGCACGTGCCACGTGAAAAGTCAAGGGTGTTCAAGCAGTTTTGCAGAAGTAATTATTTTGAGAGGCCCATATCTCAGCAGCGGCTTGAGCGATTGTCTTGCGGTCATTTTTATAGGGTAGCTGCATCCCTTCTACCAAAGGTCGGATACTCTTCATCTATGTGAGTGACCCCCACTGCACGTGCAAAATACAACAATAAGAGGTGCCAAATTTGTTCCCATTTCAGTAACTCGGTAATTACTGGGGCGATTTCGTTGAAACTTGGCATACAGGTAGGCACCCACCAGGCAATGCATTCCCATGTGTTGCGGTTAGGGTGCTACTGCACGTGCGCACGTGCAGGGGGCGTTTCCAGATCTCGAGAACGGCTGGGCCGATTGCGCTCAAATTTGGTACACGGTTGGGGACCGGTTAGTAGGGTGCCGTGCAAAAGTCATTTTGGACCCCGTTTGCACGTGCGCACGTGCAGAATGCCGCTTCCAGATCTCAGGAACGGCTGGGCCGATTGCGTTCAAATTTGGTACACCGCTAGCGACCGGTTAGAAGGGTGCTTTGCACAAGCCCGTTGGAAGTACCCTCTCGCCCTTCTGCACGTGCAGGGCTCACTATCTCGCTCGCTCGTTCTTCGCCCAAAAGGCGTTTTACTGGTTTATGTCTAGCAGGAGACCTGCACGGATTGAGCAACAAACTCTTACTCATGATCAACTACCACAAATCCCGCAAAATAACACGACTGATTAAAACTGGTCACTTATCTCAAAGGAAATTAGTAGTTCTTCATCTGTCACTAGGTTTGTCTAAATTCACTATTTGAAAATGAAGCTAATGAAGGCATGATGGAAAGCCCTTGGGATATTTATGATATTCGTCAAAATATCTTCATGCGTTGTAAATTGCCTGTTATTTTTGCATTAAGTTATTTTTGTTTCGACGTGCCGCCAAAGTATTTACATCAAAAAGTTATGGTTGAGCAGCAATGAGCGGGTCCGTTGTTCCGATTACGCTGCCGCCAGCTCCTCCGCCAACTTCTCAAAATTTTAACGGTAACATCAACTGTGACTCAATGGAACGGTGCATCACTGAGATTCGATGAATCCCACCAAACATCTCCACACTCTCACAAACATCCACCCCGCAAAACGTGCTCCCCACGCATCTCTCCCCGTCGATTATTCAGTACTCACCACTCTTCTGCTTTCACCTGGAGTACGTCACTGTCCGAGATGTCCGAGAGCCCCTCCACGGGTACCGGAGGTCGTGACATCCGTGCCGCGTGTCGAGAGGTCACCAGTGGAGTCAGGTCGGCGCCGGGTGCAGGTCAGGGCACCTGAGGAAGGAAGAGGGGATGAGGAGCGAAGGGGTAGAGGGGGAGAGCATGACCGGGGTGGGACACTTGACAAAGGGCAGACGAGAAGATGGGATGACAGGGCAATCACGGGAGCTGGTTTATTACGAGCGAGCGAGCGCAGCGAGCGAGCGAGTTCATACTGAATTAAGGGAAAATCCTGAGTATGAGCGGCCGGCCGGCCGTGGGGACGCTCTTCAAAAGCTAATATCTTAGGAACGGGACATCCGATTGACAAGCGGTCTTCTTTACTGAATGTCACTTGGACGTAAACGTTATGTGGTGTGATGGCCACCATGCGTTCTTGCCAACCACCGCACGTGGCGCGTGGTAAAGTTGGACATTTTTTAAGAACCCCCAAAATTGCAACCTCAGTAACGGCACAACGGTTGGGCCGATTGAATTGAAACTCGGTACACAGTTAGGTCTCCATCAGATAATTCATCTGCATGTGTTAAGGTTGGGGTGCTACAGCACGTGCGCACGTGCAGGGGGCGCTTCCAGATCTCGAGAACGGCTGGGCCGATTGCGCTCAAATTTGGTACACGGTTGGGGACCGGTTAGTAGGGTGCCGTGCAAAAGTCGGTTTGGACCCCGTTTGCACGTGCGCACGTGCAGAATGCCGCTTCCAGATCTCAGGAACGGCTGGGCCGATTGCGTTCAAATTTGGCACACCGCTAGCGACCGGTTAGAAGGGTGCTTTGCGCAAGCCCGTTGGAAGTACCCTCACGCCCTTCCGCACGTGCAGGGCTCACTATCTCGCTCGCTCGTTCTTCGCCCAAAGGCGTTTTACTGGTCTCCATGACTCGGCTTTAGAGCGTATGCAGTACCGGCCACGGTCGTTTCGTATCCGCGTTTATATCGCACACCAAACGACCCTGTCGCTTGTAATGATTGATTGCAATGATTATCGGTAGTCGCTACCAGTAACAACCAGTCAAACTAGTAAAAACGGAACCAGCCTAGAAACGATTTACAGCTGGAGTGCTGCAAATTAATTGGGGCTTAAACATTAAACTAATTTCAACTTCAGGCCGCTTGGCAGCTTGACAGTTGGCAATCAGTTCTGCATTTGTTATGTAACACGGCAATTTGGGAGTTGCATTTGAAATCAAAACTCTTCATAGCCAATCAAACGAGCCGTCAATTCTTAATAAAAGCTATTCAACTACCTGATCGACCGAAGCACAATTTAGGAAAACTATTGAACGGCCAGCTAAAGGCGAACAAAATCCTAGCTAGGGCAGCCTTTAGATTAACTGCGACTGAATAGACGAATAGATGAAATGATTTCTGTACAGTAAATAAACACCAGTATAGCGCCTTTTGGGGCGACTAACGGAGCGAGCGAGGGGTGAGTCTTGCACGTGCGAAATTTCGAGGGGGTACCTCCAACTGACTTGTGCACGGCACCCTACTGACCGGTTTCTAGCGATGTGCCAAATTTGAGCACAATCGGCCCAGCCGTTCTCGAGATCTGGGAGCGGCACCCTGCACGTGCGCACGTGCAAAATGGGTCCCAACTGACTTGTGCACGGCACCCTACTAACTGGTCCCTAACCGTGTACCAAATTTGAGCGCCATCGGTCCAGCCGTTCTCGAGATCTGGAAACGACCCCTGCACGTGCGCACGTGCAGCAGCACCCCAACTCTGGCACATGGATATGCAGTGCCTAGTGGGTGCCTACCTACATGCCAACTTTCAGCGCAATCGGCCAAGTAGTTACCGAGATATTGCAACAATTACAAAACTGACACCTCTTCGTTTTGCACGTGGCACGTGCATAAGGGGTCACCCACATGGATCGGGAATAGTCCAATACTTGGTAGAAGGAATGAAGCTACCCTACAAAAATTACCGCGTGTAAATCGGTCAAGTGGTTGCTGAGATATAAGCCTCGCAAAAGCGTCCGCACGGCCGGCCGGCCGGCCGGCCGGCCGGCCGCTCATACTCAGAAATTTCCGTTAATCTAAGGAAAGACTCCGCTCGCTTCGCTCGCTCCGTAATAAGATTATGAAAAAGCAAGGGAAAATGAAATAAAGTAAAAAAATGTTGCTTGTAACGCTTTACAGTGCACATATTGAGTCAATTACAAAGCATTCTAATCCTCCCGCCACAATAATTTTTTAACGAGTTAACTTAGTTCAGGCAGCGAATGCGTAGCATCAGTGTCATTATTCTGTGAATTCATCGCAAATCCACAATTTTCCATGCAATAAAACAGGCATACGTAAACAAAGATGTCCATGTTCACCGGGATATATTTGAGGCACCATTGCGGTTTAAACGCCGCACCATATCACACAATGACGTGGCCCAGTGTCTGGAATGTCACCATGTGAGAAAGTATACTGGAAAAAATCACCGAAACGTCTCAAATATTACAAAGGCCTCATTCAGCTAGCACCAACAAAACAATACCATTCTGTAACACCCCTCACTATTGACATTCGCACAGAGCCACTCGGAACTCCCGGCGGCGTATGGCTACGAGAGGCACCCATCACCGTTCCGGCGGGGAGCCCTCACACGGGGCGCTCCCGGGGCGGTCACACACTGCCGCCACACCTCTCCCAGAGATCCCACCTGGCCATCAGCTCCACCACAGGACGCCAACAGGCCGGCTGCGGCACCGGCCGCCCCTGGCGCCCCGCGCCGCAGAGGCTTCTAGAGAGGCTCCTACAGACTGGCCACAGCCTTCATCGCGGCGTCATCCAGATCGGTGGCCGTCTTGATCGGTAGCTGAGAGTCGGCCAGGATCTTGCGCGCCTCATTTACGTTTGTACCTGGGATTAAGAGAGCGGCACGCTTGTTAGATTTTGAAGGAGAGGAAACGAAGACTAGCAATGATCCGCAGCGCTGCGTCCGCTATAAGATTTGCTGTTTTCAATATTGCTGTGCTATTTGCTTGTACGAAACAACTGGTAAATATATAGCCGGACAATTATGTATGGGACATGCCGGACTCTTTAATTTCAAATCAGTCACCATGTGCCTAAATCCGTAATGCTCTTAAGTGGCTCGCCCTTAGTTGGAACGGCAACGCTGCCCTCCCGCCTGTTCCGCCGAGTCGGCCACCTACCCTCCAGTCGGACGACGAGCGGCAGGTCCAGGCTGATGGACTTGGAGGCGTTGACGATGCCGTTGGCGATGGTGGCGCAGTTGACGATGCCGCCGAACACGTTCACCAGGATCGCCTTTACGTTCTTGTCTGTCAGTGGGACAAACATAAACACGATAGAAATCCGAGTCTTTCACAGCCAATCTTGATCAAATTGGCCGTGTTTTCAAGAGCAGGCCAGCTTATACACATGATTAAAAGGAAAGCGTCGCAAGGCCTCGTCACTCGTAAGTTGCGATTAGTGTGTCGAATAGTTTGGACTGAAATACTTACAAAAAAGCCTCTGACGCGGATCTCAACCTTTAAACCAATCCCGTTCTGAGCCTTAACACCAGCTCTAGAGAAGGAGCCTTTAACAGTAATTCTGCAACCACACACACTTTTTACATGCCCAGATAATTCACTTCAGATCGACAACACCAATAACAATTCCACCTCCAGCACATATCAGTTCTCAGATCTTCTCAAAGTATTTACAACGACTATATTTTCCCGTGCCCAATCCATGCCATCAGCAGATGAGTTTCCTGCTCCGGCCGCTAAGCCGTTCTATCCCGGGTAGCCGTCCCGACCCGCCCGCCGCGGGCAACTCCCGTTCGCCCCCACCGGCTAATGATTGACCGGAGAGCCGGTGGGCGTGGGCACGGCAGGATAACGCCCCCGCTAAGTCGGTCGACCGGCGATCAGTGGGCACTTTGTTAGCGATCAACCCCAGACTTATAGACGTCGGCTATGCCGAACGATCACAGCCAGCACGGCAGGTTATTATTGCAGTATAAGGATCACCGTATTGTTTGCTTTTACAAGCTGAGGTGGGAGTAACTTTGGAGCGCAAAAGGATCGTTTTCAAATGCGGACGTCTTCTTTGGAGGTTGGGTATTGTTGCATTGCGAAGAGTTGCATCATATTACGACCAAATCTGGCACATCCTGTTGATAGGAAAAACAAATTCGACAAACTCTCGAATCTTACAAGATTCAAAATATTCCCAACCTTACATTAAAGTTTAAAAGCACGCCGAACATTCCAACACATATTTAAGCAGTTCGACTCCGCTATACAGAGATACTTGCAAGGGTGAGTAAGCGACACCGTGACGTTCATTGTTCACATTCTGCATAATAACGTCAGTAAAATCGATTAGCTTTGACGATGACGTTTATGTACGTTTTTGTAAGATTGAATGAGGGTCCGAACAACGCACTGAAGATCACTCAAGTCCACGATCAAGTAGTAAATGAGCTCACTCAAGAGTAACAACTGGCCCCGAAGAGCAGGAGGCAAACGATGACAGTGCTGAATGTCTCACCCCTGTCACCCCTCGGCCGCCCGGCCCCGTACCGTTGGTGAGTAGCTGGAAGGCGCTCTTGACCTGCTCCTCCTGCACTCCGCCGCCGCAGTCGAGGAAGTTGGCCGGCTCACCGCCGTGCAGCTTGATAATGTCCATGGTGGCCATGGCCAGGCCGGCGCCGTTCACTGTAAGGTGAGACAGACTGAGTTGATTTGAATGAAGCTTAAGTACAATGAGTTCACTGGCTGAGCCCAAAGGTACAGTGTTGGTGCAGAGGTTTACACTCAGTGAAAAGGTACACACTATTAAATTTACCGCTGTTGATAAGTCTACTGGCGAGTAGACGTGCACTGCCGAAACAGCTTATACAAGCGCACTGTCACGCAAACTGCCATGAAATGTTAAATGACACACACCGTCGCGACACTTAATCATTACAAGCCGGTCTGTTCATGAAAACATAACACCCAGTATCGACCCTGACACGTGCAAGTGTCAGAGTCAATACCGGGTATACTTCTCCCTAAGATAAGAAAACAAAATATGTCACTTCAAATAAACTATCTAAGCGATGCATGATCAGGATCAACGGAGAGAAACGGGTGCGACTAACCGAGACAGCCGATGTTGCCGTCCATGCCGATGTAGTTGAGGTTGTGTTTGGCCGCCTCCACCTCACGCGGGTCAGACTCGCTCGAATCTTCCATGGCGAAGATCTCCTTCTGACGGAACGCCGCGTTATCGTCGAACTGTTGGCAGCAAAACAAACCATCAGAGGACGTCTGCTAACCCGTGCCAGTCTCCAGCTGTTCGACGCGGGTCCGAGACTTCCGCAGCAAAACCAGTAACCACCCCACCACGCCAAACCGACTTCCTAATGCATCCAATTCCTACGCTATGGTATTTTTGCGTGACATCAAAGCAGTTCGAGCGGACGCCGACGGCGGCTCTGACCTGAATCTTGGCGTCTACGGCCACCACCTGTCCCTGAGGCGTCTCGATCAGCGGGTTAATCTCCACCTGGGTGGCGTCCACAGCCAAAAACAGACGGTAGAGCGCCTGGATCTCCGCCGCAGCCTGGGGACACACGAAATGAGATATGGTTATGGTGGGTTGCACCGAGTTAGAGACATGGATAAAATTTAATCATCACTCATAACTATACCGAGATGTACCGAATAACGCTTCACTGTCATACCCAGTCACAATAAACCAAGCGCACACCGAGCCAGAAATGTGGAAAATTGTGAGAACATACAGCGATTGCGCACTCCACTGACTTCGAATTCCCTTGAAAGCTCTCGTAAAAAGAAAACACCCAAACTCACTGCTCACCCGCCCACCTGACATCAGACCAACACCTTTCCACTCTACCGACCCTCCCTTCCCTCTCTCCGCTCCCCATCACTCCCTCTCTCCCGCCCACCTTATCCTGCAGCTCGCCGTGGAAGTTGAGGAAGGCGGCCAGGTCTCGGGCCGTCTCCTCCGTCATACCCTCGTGGATGTCGATAGGCACCGTCCGCAGCCGTTCGGGTGTCTTTTCGGCCACCTCCTCAATGTCGACACCGCCGTCCGGGGAGGCGATCACTACCGGACCGTTGTACTCTCTGGGGAGGGTGCGCGGCGAGGGGGTCACACGAGGCACGGCGCGGGCGTTATAAGGGATAGAGAAAAGGGTCTTGGGTGGGGTGAGAACTGAGAAGGGGATAAAAAGTGGGAAGTGGCGTGATCGGAGGAGGATTGAGACAGCTGGGTATGAAAATGTAAAGCATTGGCGAATCTGGAATGGGGAATACAAGATCTGGACCTACAATTTTTGTGTTTATGTCCATAAACAAGCTTGAACCTGTGGCTAGTAGAGCCGAGATCATATGGTAGAATTTCAGGTTGTATGCACCAACACATGGACAAGGAACATCCCTGTAATATACTATTGGCAGTGAAGACTGAAGTGCAATGCGATATAAATTTAGCATAGCTTTTACAACACAGGTCTTGAAAAAACATCGATGCTTCATTGCACTGTAGGTGAGCAACGAGCCAAATAGGCTTTGTGAAAAGCCAGGTGACACCAATGAGCAAAAAACATTAGCGTTGCTTTAATTTCCGGGCCCCGTACGAAGTTTGACGGCGTACGCTGTCAGCGTGGGATCAAACATGTGCACCCCGCCGAGCGCGACGGAATAAATCCAGAATAAATCGGCGACTGAATAAGCAGCCGAGCAGACAGCAGCCTACAATCGAGCGTATCGTGGCTGTAACGTGTATGACGTGGCTCATAAATTGCTGGCTTAAACCTGCCCTTCCTGGAGTTCGTTGTAGCGTTCGGTTTGGTTAAATATTCGTAAAATGTTTGGCAAAAAGCTGACCCGTGATGATGTACGTCTCGGGCGGAACGGTAAGAATTAGACACTTTCTTTAGGTGGCTTTTCCTGGGTTGAAAAAGAAACAAGGGGTTACCACTTAACATGTTGAATAATGATCAGTAACTATCCTTCTGCTCCCCCCCCCCCCCCTACAAACTCCGCCATACCTGTCCATGAGGATGCAGAAGTATGTCTCGCGGAGGATGTCCACTGACTCAGCGACCATCACCTTGCGGACCAGGATGCCGTCCTTGGGCGTCTGCTTGGTGACCAGTCGGTGGCCGGCCATCGAGGAGACCAGCATCGGCACGTCACCCGCCCTGTGCGAACGCAAAGTGGTTAGGAAGCGAATCCATGGATTAGTGGAGGGGGGAAATTGGTAATATCGATCCTCTTCTCTTTACCGATTCCGAGCATGTCTGCTCTGGAGCTTTGCAGACACAGTGCTGACAGGATTGCAGAAAATGGTCTGGCAGTCAAAACGATAGGTTCTTTCCCAATTATACTCTTCAGAAGTTTTCCAAATAAACACAAATCAAAGAGAAATGTCAACTGAGAAATGTCAACAATGTCAACAAAGAGTCAATTGATTTTAAGCACACCACTGATCAGGTACACTACCACTTTCAATGCAACTGGCATGTATGACACACGAGGAACTATTTCATGAATAGCTTACTGTTTGGTCAGGTGCACACCGCCCTTGAAGCCATTGTCAAATGTGCCCTTGCCTCGGCCTCCAGCCAAAATCTGGGCTTTGATGACATACTCCGCTGGGGCTGCAAAGGAGAACAATGTCAGACTATTCATAATCCAGAATTAACTGCTCAAAACAAAACAATACCAAAGCTTAGAAGCACTCTGCTGAAAACTGGCTTTGCAGTTTGCACACTTTCTAGACTGCAGAGACTTTTGATGAAGAACACTTACTGAAAGTCTTGACTGCTTCTTTGGCCTGCTCAGCAGACTCTGCCATTTTGAACTTTTGCACAGTGACTCCATGCTTGTCCAGAAGCTCCTTGCTCTGGTACTCAAGCAGATTCAGGTTCCTGACTGATGAGGCCAGGGGTGTGATGCCAACAAGCTGTGAAAAGGACAGGCATGAACATTATGTAGTACACATAAGCAACTGTTTTGGAAATGCTAGAGCGAATCACTTAAATCCATTAACTCCCAGTAAATACAAAAAAAAAACTTAACACTTTGCAGCAAGCAACTGAAGATCCTTCCACTTCAGCCTGATAGTGTTGGATCCATAGTGCATTAGGAGAGAATGCTCCCTAAGAATATACAATTCTGAAAGTTTGTTGGTTTTCACTTTCCTGACAACTAAATGAAAAACTTATAGGAGCCCACTACATCCATTAGGTACTAAACATCTTTCCAAATATTTATTATACATGCTGCATAAATCAGACACAGATACCTTAAATAGCGTTTGATTGACTTTTCTAGACATTTTATTGGTTCTGCCACACATGGAAATAACTTGCTGCTTCCTAATGCTACCTCAGTCTCAGGTAAACAGCTCGTCCACAATATTTTCATTGATGAGAAGCCGCAGAATGAGGAATTTCAGCATGCTGATGGCATGCCAATAAATATGACAATCAAACAGTATTCAGGTGAAAATCAGACAAGCCTCACAATACAGCATATTTTAATCACTTCAAAATTCCAGCTACCCAGACTTAAAACTTAACAATTAGCGTGAGTAACGGAAACAATAATTCTATTCTGTGCATACCTAAGTTACAAGGATAGGATTCCTTACTGTACATTTGGGTACATTACATATGCACTAAAAAATTTCACCGAATCCGCTGAAGTTAAATGGAAATTTAGTATGAAAACACTGGCTCAGTATGAGGAAGTTTGACGCTTCCCAAACAGGAAAGATCATGTAGATGAACGAATGGAAAAGGTGGAGAAGGTCATGCGTGCTCATGCCAAACTCATCGGAGATCAGGAGACAATGTTACAGCACTCCTTCAAGAAAATCCAGGATGATAGGGCGTCCTACGCAGAGGCCGTCAAGGGCAGCGCTGAGGTGATGCAAAAAGCAGCCAAAAAGTTTGAAGCGATTCCATCGCAAGGGAAGGAGAATACCAGCTTCTGCACTGAGAAGGCAATAGCGGTGTCTTTGATGACTTCTTAGAAAAAGAGAAGCGCAAGCTGAATGTTGTAGTGCATAACCTCCCGGAGCCAACAAGTGAGTTGTATGCTGAACGAGAGGAAGCAGACAAAGAAAAGTTTAGAGAGGTGATCCGTGATGCTATGCATCTCAATGTGAGAGTAACAAAGGCATACAGGGTCGGCAAGCCGGGTCAGGAGAAGCCACGGCTGTTGATAGTGGGACTTGAAAACACTGAGGTTAAAAGTGACGTGCTAAAACTGGCGCCTCAACTACGGTCGACAGATCTCTGGAAAAATGTATACCTTTCACCTGACTTTACCTGGAAAGAGAGGGAAGAGGGTAGACGCCTCCGAGAGGAGCTACGAAGGAGGACAGATGCAGGTGAAGTGAACCTCACCATTAGGAAGGGTCGGCTTGTGACAAGAAAACTGGACCTGACTCGGACAGTGGAAGCTGAACTTGTGCGGGGTAGGCCACAAGGTGCTGTAGCACCCCAGCAACATGCTACATCTCAGAGGCAGCCCTTGACAACCCCAGCGACGGCCCAGACGGGCCAGACCCCGGATCAGGAAAGGTGCTGACAATCCAGGCCGGCAGGACCAAGATATGAAGAAGGTCTCAAGGTACTGTATGCAAATGCAGACCAGTTTGTGAAGAAACGTGATGACCTTTGCATGTTTATTTCGGGAAACGAACCAGACTTCATCTTACTTAATGAAGTCATACCTAAAGCCCAACTTCACCCAATATCCCCAGCCCTTTTGTCTGTACCTGGCTACGTCATGTATCTGAACTTTGACCTCTCGGAACCCAAGCTGGGCTCAAGTGGTATTAGAGGGGTCTGCATTTATGCCAAATCATCACTCCGGGTATCTGAAGTTGTTTTTAAGGATTCAACATTCAGAGAGCAGCTTTGGATAGAGATGACCCTGGTTAGCTCTGACGTCCTTCTACTTGGCTGTATTTATCGAAGCCCCTCTGGTTCTGCCGAAGAAGATCTAAACAAGATTGGATCTCTATTCAAGCAGGCTACCAGCTCTAGATATACGCATGTAATTATTGCAGGCGATTTCAATCTGCCGCAGATCAACTGGCAAGTGGGTCTTTCCTCAGCCCCTCCCTCGCACTGTTCACATGGGTTTGTTGACCTGTTGAACGATGCATTTCTCTACCAGCATGTTGACAAGCCTACCAGATTTAGGCTCGGTGAAACACCCCACACGCTTGATTTAATCTTGTCATCTGAAGAGGCCATGGTTAAGAACTTGGAATATCTGCCTGGCTTGGGGACAAGCGACCACATCATGCTCCAGTTCCAAGTGGCATGCTACTGTCCTCCCACTGAGTCTTTGGAGCGCCACCTCAGTCTCAACAAGGGTAACTTCACACTGCTCAACCAATTAATGTCTGAAGTAGAGTGGCCATCAAGTACGTCTCTAGATACGCACGCCATGTTCGATTTTATCAAGGCCAAACTCTTGGAACACTCTACCACTTGCATACCCTTTACCAAGTAAAAACGGAAAAACAAGAATATCTACATTAATGACGAAGCCATTCGGTTAAAGAAGCAAAAACGGACACTGTGGCTGCAGTACATGCAAACCAGAGACACGATCGACTATGCCCGATTCTGTCGTGCGCGCAACAAGCTCCGAACACTCACTCGGAACCTGCGGGCGAATTTCGAGAGACATCTGGCGACGAATCTACGAACGAACGCTAAAGGGTTCTGGCGGTATGCAGGCACTCGACTACGGACCAAGACTAGAGTGGAGGACTTGAAAGCAGAGGACGGAACGATGATTCGTGGGGATCGTGATAAGGCTAACCTGCTCAATCACTTCTTCCACAGTGTGTTCACGACCGAGGACCCCGTTCTGCCGGCACCACCACCTGTTTACCCTGGACCCCCACTGACCAACATTGATATCAGCACTGGTGCAGTCAGGGAGAAACTGCTGTACCTAAAGATAGACAGCTCTCAGGGACCGGACGGACTGCATCCTCGCATCCTGCGGGAAACGGCACTGGTTATGGCAGAACCATGGGCGCGTCTCTTCCGTTCTTCATTGAACAACTCCACCTTACCAAGCGACTGGCGCAGGGATGAGATCGTCCCCATCTTTAAGAAGGGAGTGAAGGACAGCCCTGCAAACTACCGACCAGTGACATTGACGGCCGTGCCATGCAAGGTCCTTGAATCATTGGTTCGTGACCAGATGATGATGTTCCTCATTGATACTGATCAGCTGAGCAATTCCTGCAACATGGCTTCAGACAGAAGAGGTCGTGTTCTACGCAGCTTCTTGAAACTGTTGAAGATTGGACCCGTGCACTGGAGGAAGGAGACCCGGTCGACGCCCTGTACTTGGACTTTAGTAAGGCGTTCAATTCGGTACCCCACCAGCGCCTACTGTTGAAGCTCCAATCTTGTGGTATTGGGGGTCGCCTACTCGAATGGATCAGGGCATTCCTGACTGACCGACAGCAGCGCGTGACAATTAATGGTACAAAGTCGGACTGGGTTTCAGTTACCAGCGGCGTACCACAGGGGACGGTTCTAGGTCCCTTGTTGTTCCTGGTCTTAATGACGTTAATGACTTGCTGGCCTGTGTCTCATCAGGGCTTGAGCTATTCGCAGACGACACAAAACTCTATAGAAGTGTCGGTCAGGCTGCGGATACTGTAACCTTGCAGAGAGACCTCGACGCTCTGCGTCTGCTGAGATGGTCCGAAAACTGGCAACTTCCCTTCAACCAGTCGAAGTGCAAGTCCCTGCACCTGGGTCTTCGAAACGCCAATCATATATACCACATGGGAGACACCCAGTTAGAACAGACTTTGGTGGAAAAGGACCTGGGGGTCAAGATAGACAACCAGCTCAAGTTTCGGGAACAGGCCGCCGCTGTCATAGCCAGAGCGTCGCACATCCTGACTGTCATCCGACGATCTTTCGGGGTCATTGACGAGATTACACTTCCAATGCTCTACCGGACCATGGTTCGCCCCCACCTTGAGTACGCCAACGTGGTGTGGGGACCTTTCAACCGAGAAGATCAGAAGCGCATTGAGCGTGTACAGCGGAGAGCCACGAGACTGGTTGCCAGCATCCGCCACTTGCCATACCAGGAGAGACTTCGGAGCCTGGACTTGCCATCGCTCTACCATCGGTGCCGACAGGGCGACATGATCTTGGTCTACCAGGTGCTTCGACGGGGAGTGGATGTTGACCCATCCCATTCTTTACCGCGGCGACAACGACCAGAACTCGAGGACACGAGTGGAAACTGTCCAAACCAAGAGCTGTCTCCAGGGTGCGGCAGAACGCCTTCAGCATACGAGTCCTGAATGACTGGAACTCTCTGCCCCCTGCTGTGGTCGATGCGCCCTATGTCAACAGCTTCAAGGCCAGGCTTGACAAACACTGGGCTCACGCCAAGTACACCTTACACTTCAACGACTGATGCAGTGACACACTGACACATAGCTCATCACGTCCGGATCCAAGAGGCCGAAAGGCCTTCCTAAATTCCGCATACTATAAGTAAGTATAAGTAAGGAAGGTACACTGACGTTTGATGCACTCACCTTCCTACCAAGTAGCCCCTTGCTGAGCATCCGCGGTAGCGCTGAAGCAGCCATCATTCGGAAATGGCTTTTAAAACCCAACAAAATATAATATTTGCTCTGAACACCGACAAAAAGGACCTGTAAAGCCTAAAAAATAACATTAGAGACCGCCGAGAAAAAGCGGCTGCCATAAATGTCGAAAGAGCGCCATGAACACTTGGCATCAGGGCTACCAAATCCCTTCAATGGAAGTATCCCTCCAGACAAATTATCCATCGTGATCTTTTATCAATCAGTAACCCGGTTTACATAGCATATTTGACGAGGCTCTAGCTCGTTAATTTGGCGATAATTTCGTTGCAGTGGTCTTCAAATATTTAGAGGGGATCATTTTGTAAATTGTTAAGCACCATTGGCATCTTTTGCAACATCACGGACGGAGATATAAGCTTGCAACAAACCCTATGTAAACCGGGTTAGTATCGTAATCAAAATATCGCCCTCAATGGATGAGGCATTATTTACGATATCACTAAAATTGGCATCTCTCGTCCGCTAGTAGCCGCTGCTGCTTCCAAACTAAGTTGCTTGGTGATTCATTTATGATGCGTCAGTTTCTTTGACAGATCTGACATTGAAGTCGAAGCTTCCCGCCTCGACACGCTATTAATTTATAATCGGGCAATCAAGGCTGCTCAAACTCACACAAGATTCACTGTTGACGATGGAGATGCTGTATTACGGAATACAGTACGGAAAACGTTCAACAAAATACACTATCGACTCAGCCACGTTTCAGCGCGGCCGGAGGCAACAAAAACTAACGTCGCCAGCCAATGTGCGATGAATAACGGAACCACTGGGATGAGACGAGAGAATGCAACGCCGGCCAACGTCACCGTCCAAGACGAGCCACGTCGGCAGGCAGGCACCACAGGGCGGGGTCAGTCACGAGCTCTATGCGGTCTCCATGGCAGCACCGTCGTCCCCGGCACCTACGAATAGAGGGAGAGAGTGAGCCTCCCTAGCGGCACAGGTCGCTACTGCTGTGATAATAACGGCGTTTAGTAGCACACAGTACTGCATACGGAATAAGTCTTGGTGTCCTGCCATTTATTGGTTTAACGACTCACTTGAAAGCAAAACAAGAAATGCAAATTTTGTGTTTCGTCAGCGAGAAAAAAAACGAATGGTTTTGAAATCGCTGAGCTCGTGGACCGTCATACATAGCACAGCTCAGATCGCAAAGACAAATATTGTTCATTAAAAGAACTTGGTAGACGTCATAGTTGCAGTGCAATCGAGCAGCGGAAATCCGTACCGATTTCGCTGAACATGAACTGATCCTGGTAGTCCTTGAGGAACTGCGCCGACCGACTCTGGTCCAGGAACAGCGAGTAGACCCGCTTCACGTCCTCAATCTCGATCTGAAACATCGCCATAACATACGGTCCGATAAAACAATTATATATTAGATGACATGTCACTCAGCAAGTCAATATCAGTTACCTCATAGCTGTCAGGATATCATTGCATGACGCTATAAGACATTTGGGAGTTCTAAAAGAACCCCAAAAGCAAGAAACACAGGAGCCTGCCTGTATCTTCAGGAAAACCTCGCTATTGCGGGGCCCGATTCAAAGCCTAAATAGACGATACATCTGCAAGACCGAAACTCGCCCGTCTTGCTCCTCTCACAGCGAAAAAAAAAAAACGTTCTACGACACTGAGACTCCGCTATCCATTGCTTGCTGTCCCCCCGCTCCCTCTCCCTTCCCAGACGAACCTCCGCGGCTCTGTGACTGTCCCCCGTCCTCTGGCACCCTTCCCAGCCGTACCTCAGCGGCGCCGCGTTTTCGCGCCACCAGCGAGGCGAGTGTGATGAGTTGAATGGCGTATCGGAGCGACGTCTCCATGCCGATCCTGGTGAGCACGGTGAGAGCGTCATCCGCCATCTCACAGTCCTCCTCCTCACACCTGGGGGCCGGTGAGAAGTAACGGGTTAGCGCGACACGAGGTCAGGTCGTATCGGGTCAGTGTGACTCCACGCCTGGTGACCGGTGGGAAATAACGGGAAAGTACGAAGCTCAGGGTCGGAACTCATATCTGGTCAAGATCAGCTCACCTCACACCTGTCAACCGGATTTGTTCAGTACTATGGAATTGCGACAGAAGGGAAAGAGGCAGCGGGAGGACAATCTCCAAGAAGCCAACCATGTTCAAGTGGTGAGTTATTGGCCTTCCATTATCTCTTAGCAATACGGCAACACCGATGCTCGTACCTTACAAACGCACAGGCAGGCAACAAAGTCCTTCCAACACAAGGTACCTCAGCCCTCCAAATCTGCCTCGCTTTCCACAATCAACCCACTTCAACGGAACACCATCCGCCCCATCGCCGCGTTCCCTCTCCCTCCTCTCCCCACACAAGCCTGACCTGATTTTCAGGATCTGTTTGGTCTCGCTCTCCTGGTAGGGCCGGGTGGAGATGATGACTGTCCGGTCCAGCAGGTCGATGGGCACGCCGTGCGGTGAGCTGTAGTTGGTGCCGCGGATCCGCGTGATGCCCCGGTTCGTAGCCATCACCAGGATCGGAGCCATCTCGTTCTCCAGGGCGCGGTTCAGGAACGAGAAACACTCAATGTCCAGCATGTGTACCTGTGAAGGAGTGCGGTGGTAGAATGACGGTGAGGTCGGAGCGGGTACTGTGATAAAAATAGGCAGAACAACGCTAAGAATCACTACCGTAACAGATTTAGCGTTCTTCCGAGTCCGAATCGTTTTTTGGTGAGTCGAACTGCTTCGGCCGTTGTCACCTTGATCAGGCTTTTTAAAGTAAAAAGGAGCAGGCAATCGCCAAAAAATATCACCACGTGACCGTAACAAGACGGTCGTTCATTCAGAAATAGCAGAAAAAAAAACAGGCGAATGTCACCATTAAGACGTAAACTCTCAGTCAATGCTTCGTTCGTTACACCTACAAATGGCATTCCTCTCCCCTCAATATCTACCCAGCACATCATGGTGCCGTGTTTCCACTGGTTCCGGTACGCAGCTGAGCACGTCTAATGTCTCACCTCGTCCACAAACAGCACCCCAGGCACGATCTCGGCCTTGCCCTCCTCGCGCCACTCGGCCACCTTGGTGTTGATCTGGTCTCGCACCTCAGACTTGATCTCACCAGTGTCACCTGAGAGTGAGGGACAGGGATGGGGCGGTCAGCCCACAGCCAGGGTAATAGCTTGACTGTCTCGTGTGTGGTCCTCAGGAAAAAAGCGCGACACAGAGTAAAACATTTGAGAACCAAAGGAGTCGAGTCGTGTTAATAAAGAACAGTAGATGTATGTAATAATGGTACGATTGACTGGCTGTCGCACCAGTATTACGGCAAATATCCAACACAAACTAGCATGCCAGATTCAAACAGCCGTCAGCATGCTATGAACTCCCATTCTCTCCCCGAACCCACCGGAGAAGAGCGCCAGGAATCCCTGGGTGCGGCTGTTGATGACGTCAATCTCGTGCAGTGTGACCGTGTGCACCACCTCCTTGCGTTTCTGCAGCTCGCCCTCGGGACACTGGACGAAGCGCGTCTGGGGCGCTGTGGCGTCGTAGTCTCTGGCGCGTGTGAACGCCCGACCCAGCTTGGTGATCTTGCCGGTGGCCTTGTCGATTGTGATGACGTCACCGGCCTGGGCCTGGGGGCGGAGCGAGGTGTAAGGTGGTGTGGGGAGCTCAGCCGCGGGGCGGCACAGGGAATGAACTGCTGGGTTACGTGGACAGCTCGAAAGCAAACATACGAAACAGTAGGATGAAGTAGGGGTGGGATAATTTATATCGTAAAAAATCATCCGTCCCTCAGAATTGCTATAATGCATTGTGTATACCAACTAACATTTACAGCCAGTAACACCTAACAAACAGAACCATTTAACCCACGCCCAGGCATCGGTCCAGGCCTCTCCCTTCTGCATCCATTACGAGTGCTACCTGCCTACCTTCTCCTTGACGAGTGCGTCGATCATCTTTGTGCCGAGGTCGTAGATGGTCTCCATCTCAGTGGTCTTCAGGGTGAGTTTGCCGACCTTGGCGCCCGTGCCGGTGGCCGGCCGGTCCACCTGAATTTCCACCACCTCGCCCTCGATTATCTCAGTCTCCTCCCTGGCGGACGGGCAGTGGAACTCGTCAGGTCTCGGGCTCGAATCGCATGATCAGTCACAGCGCCCACAGCGGTTTGGTTGAATAACTCGCGAATGGGGTCGCGCATACTCAGCACAAGCCCGTACAAAAAGGTGCTATATATAACGAAGAAATTGCAATGAAGGTAACAAAAGCCGTTCAATTTTATAAAGTGTCTTGTCAACTATATCCCTCTTTAGTTCGCTCTGCAAAATGCAGGAAATAATTCCTGTTTCATTTACTAAAGCTCTTGATCATATAGACGAAAAAACGCATCCTAGCAAAACAACGAAGGGGGGGGGGGTGGTAGAGGGACGGAACCTTTATGATAACCAATAAAAACGGAATCGTTTAATTCATTGAGTTCTTTTTTTTCCTTCCGTCCTCCGTTCTTTTTCTTTATAAGAATGGCTTAACGCTTGTAAGCGACTAAACCATTATCAACTTACTTGATTCTGACACCGATGGACTTGCGGAAGGCCTGCATCAGCGCCTCCGTCTTGTTCATCTCGAGACTGTAGATCTCCGATCCGGACATTGATGTGAACGGCGTGTCGGCGCCCAGAGCCTGGGCCAGGCCCATGGCCAGCGCCGTCTTACCTGCCAGCGTGAAAGGGTGTGCTATGGTCAAATAGGGCCACAGTCCGCCCCAAGATGGCACAAGCATGAAGCATGAGACTGGACTGAGAAGTGAGCATGTTCCGGCCCGGTCGGTCCGGGTCATGTCAAAAGGAAGTACGGGACGTATCCTACGCACTCTTCGTAAAAAAGGCAAGCTCGTCTCGATGCCAAAATCCGTTGAATATTTTCGGAGTGGATCTTAACTCCCAAACCGCTCAGAGGTGCGCCAATCGGCAGGCAGCCCGATTCCTCCCGGATAATTTCTCTGTCCTCAAGCATTCCCCGTTGCATTCGTGAAATCGTTACGGTTGAGATGGAATGAGGCGAAGCCAAAGTTAGTGCATTTTTTTTCTGGAGGCGGCACATTTCGTCAGGAGCCGCACGGGTAATTTGATAAGAGACGAAGGCGGAGCAAGAAACGAAACAACGGTCGAAGAAAATTACACTGGAGCTGGGTTGGAGACTCAGTCATCTACCGTTTTACAGTACCTACCACCCACATCCCTGTAGGCAGCTCCCCTCGCCCTCCGACCGGTGCCGCCCGTCACTCACCGGTGCCCGGCTGACCGGCGATGAGGATGGCGCGGCCGGCGATCTTGCCCTCCTGGATCATCTGCAGCACGAGGCCGGCGGCGCGGCGCGCCACCTGCTGGCCCACCATGCCCTGCGAGCTGGGCCGCGCCTCCAGCGCATCGTCCAGGCCCAGGCCGCGGATGTGCGAGTGGGCGCCGACCCGCTCCAGGCGGGTCACCTCGCGCACCTCGGCCACCTTCTGCGCCGCCGCCTGACAAACGGCCACACAATGGAGTTAGGACATAGTTACACCATTTACTGCATCCACCAGATGAGGACATAAGCTGATCCATCCATTCTGTGATCTCAAAACAACCAGAAACTGAACAGAAATGTAAGGTGAGGTTCCTAGCCAAACTGTCATGTAGATACTTACAGCAGCCATTATAGAAGGCTCAGAGCTATTTTCCTCGCAAGTAGGGAATCAAAGAGGCTGTATCCAAAGAAATTGTATTAAATTTAAGATGTTTCCTGAAACAAAGGTGGGTAATCATGTTAACAGTCAGAACCATCAACCAAATAAGGGTAGCATTTATTATTGATGACCCATGCAAATTGCAAGACACCCTAAACAGGCAAAAGGTAATAATATATAGGCAATGAACAGGCAATAATTTCAAAGCAAGACAAGGCAAAAAGCACTGTATGCCAGTTCAATGTGAATGAGGTGTAGTGTAGCAGGTTGAAGCAATGAGGTATAGCCACCCAGGCTGTAGAACTTGTATAGCCATAACCAAACCGAGATTCTCAGGTAGGGACTAGGGGCTTAGCGTTGTCTTATTTCTAGTACCTACAAGTTACAACTACTTGTACAACTACTTGAAACTAACTGCCAGACAGTTTTTCCAACCACCAATCAAGTTGATATACCAAAAAATTGACAAGACAGTTGACACTTTCATTAATGGATATTATTTTTAAGTGGAAAGCTATTCATTGAACTGTCGGGACCATAGTGAGCATCACTAATTAATATGACTCATTTACATGTCTTCACACTTTGTACTTGATGCTCATACTATAAATATTTTTCATTACCTAGTTCTAGTCCACACAGTCTGCAAAACTTCACAGTAAATCCACACCATGGGGCACACCGCACCAACTGAATGCCTCAGCAGACAGCACTGATATGATCTTAAGATTGCCATCCTTTCCAGTCTGGCCTTCCAGGTCAAGGTAACTAGCAGTGCTAGCTGCTTCCTGTGCTGAAATTGAGATATCAAGTGGAATAGCCTAAACACTGATGTGTCAGTCAAAAATTTTGGCTTTTCCTGTGAAATTCTAGAATCGGCACCAAGGATGTTCTCGCTGTGACCCCTCAATCCTCGTATAATTAATAATTTTAATCAATGAAGGGTGACAATAAAATAAAGTTATGGTTCAGTGAGTAAACCTGTTTCGATACAGAGTTTGAAAGGTAATACAAATCCTACAAATATTCTATTCTAAGGCTACACATGTTTTATTCTGGTAAGGCTAAGAGCTAAATTCACCACGTCCACGCCCACACTCGCCACCCTAAGACGAACACACACAAACAAGATCATATGATATATAGGATATTTATAGGACATTGTCCAAATATACAAGCCGACAAAAATAATAATGAAAAATCCAGGCATATGCCCATTTTTACCCAACGCACACACCCCAATCGGCCCAAGCGCACACACGCAAGCACACAAGGTATATAAAAACACTAGGTAACACCGAGAAATTCCTTCAGCATGCGGGCAACGGGTTCAGGTCTTGACAACTGTTGCTAGCACAACTTGCAAGATACTTTCTCCCTAACTACATTATAGATTTTCATAAAAGTTTGTCTACAATCATCCTATGGGATTTCATAAATACATATTTTTTACTATCTTTATCTAAATTCGTCTTCGCCAGGAATTTTGTAATTATATAAAGAATCGTCATGCCTTCAGTAATTCTAAAATATATCGATACCTAGGCGTTGAAACTTATAAAATGTAGTATTTTTCGAAAGAAAATGAATTTTTAAATCCATTAAGTATAAATTTATTGGGAAATAACAACAGGGAGAGAAGGCACAGGTCTTGAAATGTCAACTTTGGGCTGAAGTTGGACGGGGGTAACTTTGATGAGGCGCCTTTTACGAAAACGTGGACATTGGTAGGGTCAACTAAAAATTGAATTATAATGTATGTTTCGTCTGCTTTCCAACTGTGTTACCCTCATTGCTCTACAATTAATGCAAATGTGTGAATTTCAGTACTTTATGTGTCAGTGTCACCATGCAAAGTGTCACTGTTGTAAAGAGGTAGCTGAAAAATGAGACATTGGTAGCCCCAAACACTGATTGGTCTATAATATATGGTAGATAAGTTCTCTATTGCAATGCTGGGTGAATCTTATCAATTAGTGCAAAATGTCTTATTTTCCCCATCAATTCTGTTTCGAAATATAAACCGTACAAGCGGCAGTGCGCCATTTCCGTAACATCCCCTCCATTTTTGCCTCGTGACTTGTGATGACCAATGCATTACAAAGTTGTACTTAAAAGTGATTTAATTCGAGAAGGACAATGCAGGTACCTAGCATAATTCAATATGTTTCCTATATATGTTATCCTTTCCTACAAATGCCATCATTTTGCATTGTAACTATTGGAAGCATGCGATACTTAGCTGGGTTTAAAGTGTTCTACTTCGTGACGAAGCATAAGTTGCTGAAATTCACATGTTTGCATTAATTGTGGAGCAATGAGAGTTGTAAGGTTCGAAAGAGGATGAAATATGGATTATATTTCATGTCGTTGTTGACCCTACCAACGTCTGTTTTTCAAATGAGGGAAGGTTGCGGAACTACCTACGGCTGTTTTCAAAAATAGGTCTCAATTGGTGGTTGCTCAATGCTCTTGATACAGCCTTCGAGTTCTCTGAATTAATTGTTGATGCCAGATCTTCATCTGGTTGTCTGATACTTTATATAGATGTTACTTTGCTAATTTCACATTGCTAAAACACAGTTGAGCTCAGTTTGCACACATTTGTACTTCAGCGTCTCTATTTTGGAACATCGGCATTTCCATTTTTGGAAACTAAGTCTCCATAAATGGATACGATTCAGGAGCATTTTAAAGTGGTGAATTTGAATGCATACAACAGCTTTCCATGCAAGAAGACAAGTGCTTTTCGTGTATCCGTGCTTGTTAAAAGCGAAACAGCGGTTATACATCAAATCCAGCCACCCTTGGCAAAAAAAAAATTGTGTGGAGATGTTAGCGTGCCTATGGAACGAGCGTTTCCATTTTTGTAACAGAAGAGTGGTCAAAATTGGAAATGATGCCAATAATAGAAATGTCTCCATAAATGAATCGGAGATACCACAGTGCGCCAGACTGATTTGCATCATAGACTGGCCAGACTGCTAGATTGCATTTTCAGTATCAGTAAAGCTGGTGTCGCCATCAGCGTATCTAACCTAAACAAACCTGGTGCTACTTCACAATGCCTACACCTACAACCTACCAATTTAAAAACATAAAACCTGTGAACCTACAACCAACCAACCTGCAACCTACCAATCTAAAACAAAAAACTAAAACCTACAACCTACCATTCAGCTTCTGCAGTTGGTGATGCCAGCCTTACCAGTGCCACAAATTCAAAACATGATCATCTTGACAACATCATGGGAGTGTGGAGGGACTTGGGTGTTTGAAATTGTGCTGTACAATGTACATGTATTTTAAGTGATGTAGAGTGTGAATTTCATTGTTCGTTTCTTTGACGCCATGAGTCATAACTGCTGTTCCCTATCCCTGTCTGCTTGTACAATGGTGTCCCCTACCATGGTGTCCCACACAGATTGCTGATGGGATTCGTTCCCTGTGCTTTTCAGCTTGTCTTCCACGTTGGTGGCAGGGCTTGCCCGGCTGACCGATGCATTGGCAATGGTTGGTACAGCTCACCTGGGCCGGCGGTGGCAGCATTCGCCGTATCCGATCATCTCCTAGTCTTGGAGCGCCGTGCATGGGAGGTGCACCGGCCGGCAGCTTGGACCCGGTGCAGTTAGCCTAGCTCGGCCAGTCGGCCCAGCTTGTTCTCTCCCGGGCCGCGGTCCGACGTCGAGCGAGCTTAGGCGGGCCGGTCACATGCTGCAGCTACAGAGCCGAGATGGTGGACCTCGTCGCAGCGCTGCGCGGGCTGCTGGACCACTCAGAGGATGAGTAGGGGGACCCACTAGTCATCTGCCAAACTACGGAGTACGGACAGCCAGCCGGCCCTTTGCTCGAGACCGGCGACACAGCAGTGAATACTCGAAGTTGCAGTGTGGCAGTCCCTGCTTGCGCGGGGAGAAAGATGACCGGATTCACAACGCCGGTTCCGGTGCGGGCTGTAGGGTAATAAGCGTGCCGACAGTCGACACACTAGCCAAGGAGGCGGCACAGTTACCGCAGGGGCCGACCATGCTGGACGTATGTTCGCACGGTACACCGAACAGCCGTAAGAACAGCGCGGCCGATGGCGAAATGGCCCGAGGGCTGGTACGCGGACGCGGCCACGGCGGGCGATACGTGCAGTGTAGCAGCTTCACGTTCTGACACGCCGCGCTGCACTGATGTTACTACCAGCAAGACTGTCCAGTGATCTTCTAAAGAAGTTGAACCGCAAACACCGTTGGCCGCTTTTGACGCTATCTATACTACAGAGACCCATTCCGGCTCCGAAATGTTCATGAGGTAAGAAAGTGAAGGAATTCCGGCTCCGAAATGTCCGAAAGATATTGTAAAATATACAGGTCAATGTTAGCTGCTGCGCATGCCAGTTGATATTGTAAGCATTTTGACAGGAACTTCGATTATGGGGCCGTTCGAAACATTTTTTCAAAATAAAGTTAACTCCAATGTTTCACCATGTGTAGATAAACAGCCAGAGTCCTCGCTAAGCAGAGCTTGTTGGGTCGGCCACGATCCTTGCCGTCCGGTCACGGTATGCCGGGTAACTGGATAGTTAAGATATCGACAGTTCCGAGCAAGAACATCCAAAGTGTCAAATTTTTCGAAATTGAGATGTTCATACCATTCGACTCAGCTCGTCGAGCTGAGTCGAATGGTATAAAAATCTCAACTTCGAAAAATTTGACACTAAGGATGTTCTTGCTCGGAACTGTCGATATGCCAAAGTTGTGCTTGAATGTGCAAAATTGAAATAAAGTTAAATGTACCCAGTAAAGCCAGACACGGCCTGTCCACTCCACTGACTTCAACTTAGTGCGGCTACTCCTACCAACTGACCATCCCCGTCAATAATTGCATATATTGAGCGCCGAGGCGACTCGAAACCGGACTCACTACCGAGATGTGTGTGCCTGGCTTAAAAGTCTCCCAGCTAGTCAGATATCAGTCCTATTTTTGCAATGTACTACCCAAGTGTCTCCGCTCAATTCACTCGGATTACCTCCCCCTCCCCCCCCCCACACACACACATACGTGACCGTCTCCCCGTGGTTCTTTCACCTCAGACCGTCTGACCGTCCGTTCTGTACCCTTCTAGACTCGTGGACGACAGTCCGGTGGTGTCCTGTGGACGAAGATAGCAAAGCATCTACGTGGATGGCGCGCTGGGCGGCTCGTCCGTCGCGTCACAAGACTGTGGCCTCTCTGCGCGTCACAAGACTTTTGTGTGTGGCCTCTCTGCGTGCCGCAAGACCAGGTGGACTCGCCGCTGCGTTGGCTATGGCGGGGGCCGGCGGCGGTGTGCAACACGACTGCTGTGTGGCCTCTCAGTCTGCGTGCCGCGCCGCTGCGCTGGCTGTGGCGGGAGCCGGCGGCGGCGGTGCTCTGCAAAATACCAACTGGAGCGGTCGAGCGAATGACTCAAGGCTTCCGGACGTCATCGGGGATCCTGGACATGGCTTTGCAAATCATGCAGATCAGATCTGCGCTTCCTATCGAGTCTTGCCCCTGCGGAGGCGATGCGGCGCCAAGCCGCCGAGGCGTCCTGACCGGCGGGCTTGTCACCCAAAGTTTAACGGAGGCATGGTGGCGCTAAGGACGGTCGGCGCGGCACGGTCTGTCACGGGATTGACAGTGTTGCATGGAGTGAACACTTCGGTGGAAATAGGGTGCTGGTCGGGGTGATAACCTAACTTTGAATGAGATAGTTGCGAGGATGATCAGATGATAGATAAGAGGCTGCGGGAAGCAGGGAGGAATTACACCGGTGCTAGGTTAAGTTCGTTATGATCAAAGTATAACTGTGATAATTGTACGATTCATTTGCTGTGCAGTTGGTCATTGTGACGTTCATCCCCCTCTCCCGTAGCCGTATGTATGAGAACGATAGTTCCGGTGAGTTTTAACTAACATTCGTTATCTATCATGATGGGTGTATTTGTTTGGCGGACTTGTCTGTACTTTAAACACGACCTGTGTGCTTCCCCTACCGCGATATTACTGATATACCTATTCGAATGCCATGAATTTCACGCATCAGACCTAACTGTGGTGACTTTATTGTGAACATAAGTGACTACGATTGGCGGGCAACACATCCCCACTATATAGTTTTGGTGACCAATGATCATTCATATTCGTGATCGTGGTAACCTCGGTAATTTGCCGTTTGTGAGACTGTTCGGGGCGCGGTGAGAGCTGTATCTGCAGAGCTGAGTTCGGACCGAGCATGTTGGTTCTGCGCCGTTGGTTGCTACTCTGTGCTCGTGGTAAATTCACATCATTTATACAATTGAATGACAACTCAAGTTTCGCCTCAGTTTTGCGTGTGAGTGCTGAAGCTTAGTTCCGTTTTAAATTCGTTAACGTGCGTTTTGTGCGCATATTTTAACCCGGACTTCTTGAAGTACTGAGATGAATATACGAATTGCTGGGAGGGATGCAGGTTTAGTTTGCTCATCAAACTTCCGAACGGATGGTCTAGACGGATTTTTTGGTACATTTTCCATGCGTCGGTCCACAAGTCACGTCGATGTTAGGTTAAGTCAGACAAATCACTGTGTTGGCTTTTGGAGACCAGCTAGCGTCATTCAACATTGGGGCGTCCGAGTTTGTCAATGTCTGGAAACAGATGGGCGCAAAATGACCACCGGAGTCGACGCGCCCGTAAACCGATTTCGCTGCGTATGGTGGCAGGGTGCTAGCAGCGGCCGTAAAACACCACCCACGACGACGTGCAGTACGCCGGGATGTCATATAATTAAAACTTTAAGAAGGCACGTTCTCTCGGCCTTCATTTGCACTGAAGATAATAGCTGGAGAACCAGCACCACTTCAGTGTTATTTTATTTACAGAAGCAGTTTTGCATCAAGCTGGGCTGACGATGCCGCCGCAAGTGTTGTGTCCATGCCCGCTGCGGGATATTCGGCACCAGGTATATATGGTTGCGGGTGTGAAATAAAAAGCAATGCCAAAATAAGATCAACCAGGAAAGCGACTCGCTGATAAATTCAATTCTATCTATTTTCTCACAAATACGCTACGAGGTTGATTACTACGAGGTTGATACGCTATTTCTATTTAGTCGCCAAGACTCAAATTATAATTCGAGCCTTTTGATAATTACTTGATTGTTCATTGAATGTCACATTCGAATAATACTAGTTTGACACATTATAATAATATACAGTGTCAATTTATAATAACAACGAATTCAATTTATAATAGCATTAATTAGTTTTTAATGTGAACGATATGTACCGTACGCACCTGTTCAAAAGCAGCAAACGCATCAATCAGCTGACGCCACATTCCCGGTGACGCTGCTCACGGTGCACGCCTGCAAGCACACACGTGCGCGCGTGTATCGATAAAGCAGCTTTCGCAAAGGGAAATTTTCGGGAAATACTTACACTTACACTTACACTTACACTTACGATGTACGAGATTTAGAAGGCCACTTGGCCTTTAGGACTCTTACTTTATCGAGCTCCTTGACTGTGTCACTTCCTCATTGTCATATCACACTACGCCACATCATTGATGTGAATGGTGTATTGGAGGTGGGACCAGTGGGCGTCGAGCTTGGCTTTGAAGGCATTCAAGGAGCGAGATGAAACAACCGATGCTGGTAGGGCGTTCCAGTCGTTTACGACCCTGACTCCAAGAGCGAGTCTTCTCGTTCTTGTTTCAGCCCTCGGTTTCCTCAGTTTCCAGGCGTGGCCTCTGGTGGGACCAGCGGCAGCTGGCGTGACGAACAGCTCCGGATCCAGGTCGACTCCACCGTGCAGCAGCTGGTATATCGCGATCATATCTCCTCGTCGCCTCCTGTAGTAGAGTGACGGCAGACCTAGACGTCGGAGCCTCTCAGTGTACGGCAGGTTCTTGATCGCTGGTATCAACTTGGTAGCTCTCCGTTGAACCCTCTCCACTCGTTGTTGGTCCGCTCGACTGAATGGGCCCCAGACAGTGTTGCAGTACTCCAGGTGAGGTCTGACCAGTGTTTTGTAAAGAGCTGGGAGCGTTTCTGCGTCGATGGATTCGAAAGATCTGCGAATCACGGACAGGACACGTGTGGCCTTCGACACCGCAGCTGCAGCGTGCTCCCGAAACTTCAACTCACTGTCGACCAGGACACCAAGATCCTTCTCAACGGTGGTTTTATCCAACTGTGCATCACCCATGGAGTACCTCTGACCTTCGCTGGCCCTTCCAACGTGCAGAACTCTACACTTTTCTGCGTTGAAGTGGAGCTGCCACATGTCTGACCAGTCGATGGCTGCGTTCAAGTCGGCCTGCAACCTTTCAGCGTCTGACGAGCTACTCAGTGAACGGTAGATTTTGGTGTCATCTGCAAACATCTGTATGTTGCACTGCACAGCATCAGGAAGGTCATTCACATAGATTACAAACAGCAGTGGCCCAAGCACGGATCCTTGTGGTACTCCACTCTTGACAGGTGCCCAGCTGGACTTCGCACCGTTCAGGATGACCCTCTGCCTTCTGCCCACCAGAAAGCTCTCCACCCAGCGCAGCAGCCTCTCCCCTATTCCGTAGGCCCTCAGCTTGCACAGTAGTCGCTGGTGAGGTACCGTGTCGAAGGCCTTTGAGAAGTCCAAGTAGATTGCGTCCACTGACTTTCCTCGTTCAATCGCCTTGGTCCAGTCATCGATTGTTACCAACAGTTGGGTTGCGCAAGAGCGTTTGGGGCGGAAACCGTGCTGTGCATTGTTAAGCTGCTGAGTCGCAACCATGTGTTCCATGATGTGGTCGCGGATAATCGACTCGAGGACCTTGCACGGAATTGCCGTCAAACTCACTGGTCTGTAGTTTGCAGGAGATTGTTTGTTGCCCTTCTTGAATATCGGGACGATCTCACCTGCCTTCCAGTCCAGGGGTAGGTCTGCTGTCTGCAGAGACTCGTTGAAGAGAAGAGATAGTGGTCGGGCGATGTTGTGGGCAGTCTCAACAAGAACTCTTGGGTGGATCCCATCAGGGCCAGGAGACTTAGAAGATTTCAGCATCCTCAGCTTGGCTTCTACTAGTCCTGGTGTCACTTCTGGAATGTCAAGGTCTGACCCAGAATAGCCATTTTGCATTCTTGGGACATCATCTCGTTCTTCAGTGAAGACGCTGCTGAAAAACGCATTTAGCACTCTTGCTTTGTCCTCATTGTTTGAAGCCAGTGAACCATCTGCTTGCTTGAGGTCCTCTACTCCGGTCCGGGTTTTCATTCTGGAGTGGACATAACGCCAGAAGGGCTTTGGATTCCCCTTGACTTCTCTAACAAGCCTCTTCTCAAAGTTGCTACGGAGATTTCTGGTCAGTCGACGGAGGTCGTTGCGGCATCGGACAAAGCGGGCATGGTCAATGGGGTCTTTCGATTGCACATATTTGAACCAGAGTGTTCTCTTCCTCTTTTTCAGCTTCAGGGCCTCACGGTTGATGTAGATGTTCTTCTTTGCTGCTTTGGGCAGGGCAGGTGGCACACACTTGTCAGTTGCTTCCTCTATGATCTTCTTCCAGTGATTGTACCTTGCTTGCACTGTCTTGGGCATGTGATCTTCCCAGTCTGCTGAACTCATAAGCAGATTCATTCGGTCAAAGTTTGCCTTGTGGAAATTCAGGGTATTACCTGATGGCTCTGACCGCTGGGTGTAACACTCCAAGTCAAATGATATTATCACATGATCACTCTTACCAAGCCCTGGGTGGAAGTCAATGTTCTGCACCATACCTTCCTCGTTTGAAAAAATAAGGTCTAGTGTGTGAGGTTCCTCTCCTACCCTGAAACGGGTAGGTTGTGTAATGTGCTGGTGGAGAAGGCAATCCTGGGCGGCATTGACAAACGTGTGTGAGTAATGGGTGGCAGGCGCTGATGAAAGACCCAGGCTCCAGTCCACGCTTGGCAAATTAAAATCTCCAGCAATTACAACATGCGAGTACCCAGCTGACACTGCTTGACTAAATATGTCTGCCAACACCTCCACAGAGCCCACTCCATCACTGGTCGGACTACGGTAGAGGCATCCTATTAGGAGACGATCGGGTCCGGCCAGGGGCATCTCTAACCATAGCTGTTCTCTGTAGTTTTGCATGCCAACAATCACTTCTGCCACATGTAAACTGTGGTGAGTGTAAATAGCTACACCTCTTACTCCGCTTCTGCCCAGGTTCATTTCTGAGAGATCAAAATTTGTGTAGAGAGTATAGTCTTGGATAGCGAGTAGGGCAGGCGCAATTGGGTTGACTTGTGCTTTAGCAATAACCTCAGTCACAAGAATTACATCCGGTTTTCTGTCAGCTATAAACATGCACAGTTCATCTCTTTTATTAGTGAGCTGATCTGCATTTGTATATATTACTTTGAGCTTCTCATTCAGCCTCCTTTTCACTGACCTTCCCTGTAGTCAAGCCTGGGGTGGTTCTGCAGTGACCTTCTGGCCAGCCACACCGTGAGCAGAACTGGTCTCACCTGTGATTCCTCCAACAGCTGTACCTGAGTCACTCTGCTGAGTCACCCCCTTCACTCTCTCTAAGACTCCATGGGGACTGGTCTCCCTGCTTTCCCTGCCAGCAGATACCGAGCCGCCAGCTTCTTGAGCAACTCCAGAGTTTTCAGCATCCTGGTGGCCAGAACCAGTGTCCAACATCTTCATGGAGAGCTGGGTGATCTTGCCCCTTCTTATCACAAGATTTGTCTCACCGGCGTCCCTCCGCCTTGTCAGCTCAGCCCTCAGCCGTTTTCCTTCTTCCCTCTCCTTCCATGTCAGGTCTGGGGTTATGTAGATGTTGCTGTAGTCTGTTGATTGTCTTAAGCAGTGTGCCATCTTGAGTATGTCTGTTTTGACCTCCATGTTTTCCATGCTCACAATCAGCAGTCTGGGTTTAGTGGGCAGTTTCTTACCCACTCTGAAAGCTTTTGTAACTCTGACATTTATCCTCAAGCCTTTCTTAACCAGGTCTACAAACTTGCATGTGTCCTGCTGAAGGATTTCTGCATTGCTGTCCCCACTACTCTCTTCCAGATTGTGCACGACTAAGTTTAACTTCCTCTTCTCCCGATCAAGGAAGTTGTCAAACACTCCTGATATTTCCTCTGCTGTGTTGATGCTTTGTCTCTGCTGGGCAGGTTTAGGGATAGCATCTAGCCTGGCTGTGACCTGCTTCACCATATCACTACAGGTACCTTTCACTGCCTGAGCATAGGTATTTTTCTGAAGCTCCACTGCCTGAATAGCTTGTTCGACCTGCTTTGACTGCGTGCTAGCTGCTTCAGCTTGTTTTGACAATGTGTCGTGGATCTCTTGTAGAGTTGTTTTGACAGTGTCCTCAAGGCGGTCAACCTTTGACTCGAGCTGCATGAACTGACGCAGACTTGCCCCGTTGGAATCCCTTGCATTCACAATAGACAGTTTACATGCCGCACAGAGCCATGTCAAAATTTTGAACTTCTGCAGAGCGGAAATCGCCGCTTTTGGAATTGATTGGCAATCAGCATGGAACCACCGCATGCAGGCCTCGCACTGCACGCCTGGCTCCCCATCCTTGACTTCCTTTCCACATGTCATTTGCCCAGGTCCACCCTTACAGATAGTACCTCCATCCTCCCTATCACTACAGGTTTCGCTGTTTGATCTGGAACGAGTTCCCCATAGCTTGTAAACGTCACTGTCTAAGCGTTTTATGTCCCTTCCTTTCTTCCCACCAGAACTCTGACTCACCCTTGCTGTTTCAGCAGCACTTTGACTTCCTGCTTGACCTCCAGTAGCACTTTCACCTGCAGAATCAATCTCACCCACCAATTGAGTAGCTTGAAAATCCGCAGATCCACCAGCCTTTTCACCTGCAGACGATTGTGATGCCGCCGAGGCCGCCGAGACCCCGTTTGAATCAGGCGAATCAGTCGTAGCATGAGTCGCAGACGCTACCGAACCTAGTGGTTGCTTTTTGTTTTTGCGTTTCGGTGGCGGTGAATGCTGCAGAGTCATTTCCTTTGTGTATCAAATTGTTCTTCTTTTTTGAGCTTATAATTCTTATGAACTAGCTTTCGTTGATAATTCTTCAGAATCAAACTATAACAATAATATTGCCGGTAGTAGTGGAGTGTGTGCTGAGTGGTGCTGATTTAGGAGCTCGATAAACACGACCGTCCTCAACGAAAGCGCGCGACGAAGTCCGTGTGAAAAGTGAAATAGAGTTGTTGTATGAAGGAATTCATGAAGTGTTGAAAAGTATAGAGCCAAATAAACATCCGATAAGACACAATTTATTGACATTTCAACAATTGTGTTTATATTTTCGATAATATGCTTATATTTCAATTATCCTAAGCTCTTAATGACTTTACCCAAGTTTTTCACCAAACAAATTTTCTCCACCTTTCTAAAAATTTTGTTTGAGACAAATATGAGGGGCATGCGACATTTCATTATAAGTTCAGTGAGTTCAGTGGTGTATTTACAGCGAATATGCAATCCATAGATTTTGGAGACGTCATTAGTAAAATAATAATAAAAAATCATTTTTTGATGCTTCAGCGGACCTTTTCTGCATTCTTTTCTTGTTCTCATTATTAAAATCATGCATAAGAATGAGAGAATTTGATTATAAATACGCAAAATGACCCAAATAGCGCTGAAACAATGCTCTATCAAAATAGCTGAAGTGCAGCTCATTGGCTTTAAGCTATGACGTCAAAAATTCACTGCTACCCAAATCAAAGTTTCTTAGCCAACTGGTACAGAGTCAAAATCTATTCTTTGTTACTACTTGGTTACTGTTACGAGCGAATTGTAGTGTTTGTCGACTGTCGTGTATTTGTCGCGCAATTTCTCTTACATCAACATTGTCAACTTTATGTCAAAAGGAATGTGTGCATTTTCTAGTAAAACTGAATATCTAACGTTTTGCTAACTAGGAATCATCACAACCGTCAGGTGATTTGAGCCATTAGGTATGAATGATGTGATACCTACATCATTTTAAATGCTTTAAGTTAAATCCCCTTTTTCTTTGACCAAGTGTTCCTATTTATCCATGATAAACTTCAATCAACAGAAATTTCCAAAAATGAGCCATGTTGTTTACCCAAACTCCAACTGTGATCGCGATGGTGGATGTTCGGGGAGGTAAAGAGAGGGCACATATTTTGATACTGCAACACAAATTGTAACACTTCTCAATGATATTATTTCAAATTTTTGAAGTTTGTAACTTAAAAGATTCTGTAAGCAATGCGTTTTTGAACTTGTTGATTTTTCTGGTAATTTAGGGTAATGCTGCTGCATGCCCCGCGGCCACCATTGTGATTGGCATCTGTCTTGTGCGTGGCAGTTCTCAGATCTGCAGCTGAATTGTTCAGGTTTGCAAAGGCATCAGATTGTAAAAATGTTAAATATTTGTTCTCAATTTCCTGAACATTTGAGTTTATTTCAATCATAAGAGAAAGTAGCAGAATAATGTGCTGCAATTTTTTCATAAGATAATTGTAAGTTACTAATGTGAAGACTGAAGAATGGGTAGTGTCTGGCAGTCTGTACTCTGTAGCCACACTGAATGATTTATTCTTCCTTTGAAAGTGACTTAGTTTCTTGAGGCTGCTTAATTGTAGGTAGAGGTGTCCTGCCCTGTATGCCACTAATAATCAAAGATAAAACAAAGTGTACCTGCATAGCACTCCCAATTAGCAATAACTTGAGGCAGAATCATTTCATCCACATTTGCAGAAAAAAATAATTGTGCCTTGTGCAAAAACATTGCTTTTGTCTTTGTGTTTAAGATCTTAGTCTAAGTTTATGATCTGCTTTTGTCTTAATGTCTTCAAGTGTTTAAGCCAACTGCCATCTTGCTGGAATTTACCTAAATATTACATTTAAAATACCTTTTTTATAATAATACACTATGGAAGTGCTGTGAAAATGCCTAGCTTTCAATATTTTATTTACCTTACATTCATGGCTCTAATTTCTGTCCTTTTTTGTATTTTCACCATAGTTTTGTGATTTTCTAAGTCAACAACTTACTGTTCTACAACCATGCTACCAAACTATCTTTCAGACACGATGTCTGATGGGAGCGCTGCCGCCGCCGCCGCGGACCATCCGTCAGCTGCAGTGACGGATACGTCGTCCGCCGCCTCTGCCGCCGTCAAAACCGATGACGAGTCCGCCGCGCCGACGGATGACGTCATCGTGGAGGAGGAGGCCACGCTGGAGGCGGGCCGCGCCAAGGGCCTGCTGAACTGCGCGCGCTGCGCCGTACGGCTGCAGCACGGCGTGCACGAGCCGCGCCTGCTGCCCGCCTGTCTGCACACACTCTGCCAGCAGTGCGCCTCGGGCGAGAACGGTGAGCTGGGACGGCGGAGTTGGAGACGGGCGGGACCACAGTTGCGGGATCGGTTATCGAAACTCGGAATCCGGTGTTCAATGTGGCTAATTCAGATATCCCTGCGTGGGAGCTGGGCTGTTAGAGGACGAGTTGGTTGGTAATGGGTAAAATCTGATAAGAATGATAAACAAACAGTTTGTACCAGTACCTGTTTCTCTGATTGCCGGATTGCATGACAGTATGATGACACGAGGGGTGTTCACGGGCACCGCAAACTGCTGAGTGTGGTGTGTGCAGCAGGCGTGGGGGTAGGGGATGGGTAGGCTGTTCTGACGTCACGGCTGCGTGCGGTAGACGGTCCCCTGTGGCCGGTCCCGACCGACCACAGCGGTTGCTGTGTGCGGTGACGGAAGAATGACGTTGGGACGCAGTGGGCGGAGTTTAGAGCCTGTGTACGGTCCGACCGCACACAGGGCCCGTGAACACTGAACAGTCTTACGGATAGTAACTGTTGCGTACGATGTGTCTCTTTCCTGCCGCCGTGAGACTGACCGACACCTAAATGCGCGGTACGTGTCTCTCTCCGCAGAGGGCGCCGAGGTGTGCTGTCCGCTGTGCCGATGCGTCTCGCCGGGTGTGGTCGCTCACCCGTTACTGGAGACGATGTTACTGCAGTCGCACGAGCACCGTGCCAGCACCGAGTGTGGCCAGTGCGCCGAGCGGGGCGGCCGCTCCAGCCGCGCCGCCGGCACCTGCCGCGACTGTCAGATCGACCTCTGCCACGACTGCATTCAGGTCAGCGGGACCGCCTGCCAGGCTGAGATACCGGGTCATGCGTACTGCCTCCCCCGCGCAGACAGGTGTATTTAGGGCTTAAGCCAGATCATCCGTTCCTTTGACGGTCGTGCTGGGCGTGTGAATGATGTCACCATTCTTTAACTGTTATTATTATGAAGTCATTTTTAGTCTACCCTTTTCAACGTGATACAAAAAAAAAAACTTTATAATGCCCCAGCTGACAGCTCTGATACGATGAAACGCAGAAATAGGGGTGCGAAATATTATCACACATCTTGTCTCGTACTATGATTTTCCCGATCGCTCCACCGGTCCTGCAGTCTGACCGTCGTTTGTGCCCCCGCAGGCTCACAAGATTACGCGGGCGACGTGGGGCCATAAGTTGGAGCTGACGCCCGAAGCAGAGAAGGAGGACCTGTGCCCCACTCACGGCCTGGTCAGTGGCTGTTTGACCCGAAAGGGTCACCTGTCGACGTTGCACGCTGAGACATGACTGAGTCAGTTATTTCTGTGTCAGCTGGAGGTGTTGGTGAGGCGTATACTGACGTGTGCCTACTGGATTCCTACTGCATGTGTTTGGGCGAATTTCGATTTCGCGTCAATTATTTCGTTAAAAGCCGCAAAAAGTCGGTTTTTTGGCCACAATACTAGCTGCTTGTTAAAAGCTGTACCAGACTCATTCTCGCGCTCCTGTGTTGACCTCCATAATTTCCCTCCCCGCCGACAGGTGTTTGACAACTACTGCGACTCGTGCAGCGTGTTGTGCTGCCGCGACTGCATCCTCTCCGCCCACCGCTCCCACCAGTCCTGCACGCTGCAGGAGAAGCTGGAGGGAGTCCGCGGCGCCATCCACACCGGCCTCGAGGGCGTCCGGTGAGAGAGAGAGAGAGAGAGAGAGCGACCGGGCGGGGCGGCAGGGGTGCTTTTGTGTCGAGAGGGTTAGGCAAGGGTGGGGTATGATGGGTTGAGTCAGGTATGGGAGTTTTGTGTGATGGGTTGATGTTTTAGTGAGAAGGGAGCTGGGTGGTGGGAGTGTAGCTGATTGTTAATGGTGTTTGTGTGTTTGTGTTTTTAAGACGGCCAGTTTGATTTTACGTCTCGACACCCACTATGCCGCATGGCCTGATTGTTAACAATGATGTTTTCCCCTCATTTTCAGAGATATAAAGACAAAAATAGAGGAAGATATACACAATTTGAAAGTGAAACTAAAAGAATTTGACGAGGGGAAAACCAAAGGGCTCCAAGGAATCCATGCCTGTTATGACGAGTAAGTTTGTTCATGCTGAAGTGTTGACCTATTGGGGTTGATCGGACAAGCAGCACAGTCAGTACAGCTCGCCTCCACCCATTCAGGGTCGTCATTTGGTGTTTTTTTACGTGCTTGTCTTGCATTGCTGAGGCTGAGTAGTTGTTTATCATTTGGGAATGTAACCGATATGCTGGCGAGCTTTGACTGTTGACGTTACCTTAGGCGGTTTTTTAAATAAACAACCCGCTTCTGGTAATGGCAACCAATCTAATGAATCAGCTTAGGTATAATCTACACAACTTTGAATTGTTATCTTGGTCTTGCTATTAATTAGTGCTCCTGGTTAACACCAGTGAATTGCAGTTGACGCACAGGGGTGGGTAATTCAAATCCGTTCGGTCTGATGTCACATAAAACTGCTAGTTTCGTGCCGCCCCGGCAGAGTCCCTCCTCTGCCGCTCACCTCGCTCTCCGTCTCTGCCCGTCAGATACCAGGACCAGAAGCGCAGCTTCTTCCTGAGGCAGATGGAGGCGTGTCGCCGGCGGCACGACGCGCACAGCAGTCAGCTGATGGAGCGCCTTCAGGCGGCCTCTCTGGTCGACGCGCGCGCCGCCCACCTGGAAAAGCTGATCGGCCGACTGCTCGAGTGCCGCCGGCCCACCACCTCACTGCACTACTTCAGGTGGGTGGTGGTGCTTTGAAGAGTCTGATGGGACTGCGGTGGTCATCGGCCTACTCGCTGTAGAGTGGGCACTGGGCGCTGGGCAGTGCTATTGTGTGGGTAACATGAGCTTCCATGTATCTTGAGCGTGTGCGGGAGTCTGGAGAGTTTGTCTGTTTAGTTTGGGGGTTTGCTTTGAGTTTGGTTTCCTTGACGGTAATTGGGATGGGTGTGAGTCGCATTTAAGGCCAGGAAATTTTGCAAGGGTTGATCTCTGAATTCCAGGGCTCAATCTTATAAACGCCGTGGAATGTATATGGCAGCACTGGCTGAGTTCAGCTGCAGAAAACGGCTATCAAATGCAAAATGGTTTTCACGCATTTCAGTCCATCGTATGTTGACGGTCCAAATAATCATTTCGTTGACTCGGATAACCGTTTGTCGGCACTAGAACCAGTAAAACGCCTTTTGGGCGAAGAACGAGCGAGCGAGATAGTGAGCCCTGCACGTGCGGAAGGGCGAGAGGGTACTTCCAAAGGGCTTGTGCAAAGCACCCTTCTAACCGGTCGCTAGCGGTGTGCCAAATTTGACCGCAATCGGCCAAGCGGTTCCTGAGATCTGGAAGCGGCATTCTGCACGTGCGCACGTGCAAACGGGGTCCAAAATGGCTTTTGCACGGCACCTTAATAATCGGTCCCCAACCGTGTACCAAATTTGAGCGCAATCGGCCCAGCCGTTCTCGAGATCTGGAAACGCCCCCTGCACGTGCGCACGTGCAGTAGCACCCTAACCGCAACACATGGGAATGCATTGCCTGGTGGGTGCCTACCTGTATGCCATGTTTCAGCGAAATCGGCCCAGTAATTACCGAGTTACTGAAATGGGAACCAATTTGGCACCTCTTCTTTTTGTATTTTGCACGTGCAGTGGGGGTCACTCACATAGATCAAGAGTATCCGACCTTTGGTAGAAGGGATGCAGCTACCCTATAAAAATTACCGCAAGACAATCGCTCAAGCCGCTGCTGAGATATGGACCTCTCAAAATCACTACTTTTGCAAAAGTGCTTGAACACCCTTGACTTTTCACGTGGCACGTGCCACGACGGTCACTGAGATGTATCAGAATTCAGAAGTAGTCAATTACGGGGTAGAAGGGATTGGGCTACCCAGCAAAAAAAGATCGCAGGCCAATCGGTCCAGCGGTTGCTGAGATATAAGCCTCTCAAAAGCGTTACAGGCCGGGCCGGGCCGCTCATACTGAGATTTTTCCGTTATATTGAAAAGACTCGCTTCGCTCGCTGCGCTCGCTCGCTCGTAATCACTGTTTATGTTGCCAAATGCCGTGAAGAGAATAGTACGGCATTTTATAAGATAGGGCCCAGGACAAGTATTTATCTCATACTTACCTACAGGTGATGATCAATTCCGTACCTGCTGCGTTTTGTCTGTTTCGCATGTGCGGTCTTTATATACACCAGGGTAGACCAATGTGTGTCATTCATATTTGCAGGCACATCTCCAACCTGTCGCAGCGTCTTTTGAACGTGGATATACCGGAGGGGGAGACGGAGATACCGGTGCTGAGCTTGCGGCGCGTGCTGGGCGTGGACCGTGAGTTTCAGTGTGTTCCTAGGGTTAGAGGTGAGATGGGGTTAGACGGTGCTGGGGCTGAGGCTGGGCGTGGAACGCGAGTTTCAGTCCAGCTTGTGTGCTTGTGTGTGTGGGTGGGTGGGTGGGTGGGTGGGGGGGGGGGGGGGGCTGAGAGGATGGAGCGATATTAAGAGGCCGCGGCTTCTCTCTACAATCTATGGAAGCATGCGTGTTGATTTTCTGTAACATAAAATCCACTGCACTGTCTCACGCAAGGCTTGTCTCTTTTCATTTTCCTCTCTGTTAGCTAAAGTGGTTCAATTATTCGTTGGTTTGAAGTATATGACAAATTTATCAACCGGCCTCAGCCAAAAGAAGTGAAGAAGAAATAACTAACTTCCCTCCGCCGCCGAATAAAGGAAGTCCTCCCCACGGTGGCAACTCTGACGCCCCCCTCCTCCCCCTCTGACAGGAATACACCCCATGATTGCACTGCTGCTGTACGAGGATAGCACCTGCCTGCAGCCGGGCACCAAGGCGAAAATTTGCCACCATTTTATGACGTCCATCCAGTCGCTGGTCAGCTCGGAGCTCAAGGCCGACTCAGACCTCGGACTGCGCTACGTGCGCATGATGTTCCGGCTGATAGTCAACTGCGCGCGGAACATGTCGCCAGCGATGCGGGAGCTGGTCTCCGAACTGCACAGCGCCGTGACAGCGCTGTTCCAGGAGCAGCCGTCCATGCACCCGCCGAGCGGGACAGTGCCGCCGCCGCCGCCCGTGCCGCTGCAGAGACTGGCCGACCCTCCGGCCAGGAGCTGGCTGATGCAGCAGCAGCAGGAGGAGGAGAGTCACTCCGAGGACGGACAGAGTAGGCGAGAGGGAGAGGTGGACCTGGACGAGCCGCTGGTGGTGTGGAGCGGCAGGTCAGACGGCTCGCGGACGGCACAGTCGCGCAGTGGGCAGGGGGCGGCGACATCCTCCAGTGCGCCGCCGACACTCAGCACGTGGAGCTCGCTCGGCCAGTCGACCTCGGCACCGGCGTCTGCGGCTGTAGCGCAGGTGAGACTGCATTCACAGTTTGTCGGCGAACGATGGAGAGGGAGATCCCGCAGTTTTATACTGGACGTGTGCATTATTTCACTGTTTGTCGTTGGTCATTGAAGACTGCCTAGTGCCTACTGGTATCAGCTGTGCTGCTCCCTATCATCAGTCATACTAACCGGTCCCTTTACCCACAGGTTACCACAGCACGACCCACCGTTTCGGCGGCCTCCGCAGCACCATCACAGATGCCTGTGTTGTCTGCACGACTGCGGGAACAATCCAAGGCGTCTGACCCGACAGCGGCGCCGGCCCCCGTCTCTGCGACGGCAACGGCGTCCGCCGTCCGCCACCCGGCGCCCGGACCGGCGGTCAGCCCACGCGGTGTGGCGGACGCTAGACCGACGCGGCCGGCCGCCAACGTCGCGACTCCCAGTCCTTCTGCCATCGCCGCCGCCGCCGCTATTTACAATGCCGCCGCCGCCGCCGCCGCCGTCGCGTCCGATGAGGCGGCCACGATGGCGGCGTGGGCGCCGGCCACTGTCACTGTGCCTCGAACCGTCGTCCGGGAGTCTACCAGCGCTCGGGTGACCGTGCCCGCCGCCGCGACAGGGGTGCCCATGGCGCCGCATACTGTGAGGTTAGCGGCCACGACGTCCAGCTTCTTCAGAGCAGCGGCGGCGGCAGATAAGACACCGACTCAGAATCCAGCTCAGGCGTCAGCTCAACAATCGCCTAAAGCACCAGCTCAGACTCAATCTAAGAAATTATCTCAAGGAGCTGAAAAAGCAGCGACGATGGCGGCGGGGGCACCCGCGCCAGCTCAGAAGCCAGAGCAGGTGCCAGCTCACACACAAGCTCAGGAAATAGGTCAGGCCACAACTCAGAAATCAGCTCAGGTACCAGCCTCAGCCGCCGCACCAGCCTCAGCGACATCATCTCAGGCACCAGTTGCCCCCGCAGCGACTCAGGGTGCAGCTGCTACGGTCTCCGCTGCACCCAGAACCGCAGCTCCAACACCGACCGGTGCACACCGAACTCCGCCTGTCGTCGCGTCGTCAGCAGCTGCGCCGATGGCGGCAGATGCACCTGCGGCTGCCCCTAGAGTTCAGCACGTGGCCACCACCCCGCCACGCACCGTCGCCCAAGCAGCTACCAGCGCTCGGCTAACCACGTCTACAGCGTCCGCTACGGCAACGGCGGCAGCAGCTCAGGCACCAGCTCCGGCGGTAGCTACCGCGGCCTCTTCGCCGAGTCTCGCATCTCCAAAAACGATCAGGACTCCTAGTCCTCGAGCTGCGTCAGCCACCACCAGGGCTCCTGGAGCTTTGTTCGCCACCACCAGGGTTCCTGGAACTGCGTCAGTCACCCTCTGGTCTCCTGAAGTTTCGTCAGTCTTCACAGGAAAGTTCCGACTTGCGTCGGCTTCCGTGGGACGCCCGGCTAGGCCTCCTGTCACACCTCCTCGGAGACCGGTCCCGATGCTTCAGCCGATTATCATACACATGCCGAACATCGAATCAATCTCACCAGAACGACCGATCGCTCGAAGCCGGCGACCGCCACAGCGGCCGGCAACGCCACCAGCACCGCCACCACCGCCTCCACCGCCCCCAGCGCCGCCGGCGAATGCCAGTGTTTCGGATGACGACGACGACAACTCCCTGTTTGTTGACACCAAAGTGGATGTGATGGATACGGCTTTGGCCATGATGGGTATGTTACCCCCGGAGCCGGAGCCAGCGTCTGCCCCGAAGCCAGCGTCTGCGCCGGAGTCAGCGTCTGCCCCGGCGCAGGTGCCAACGTCTGCCCCGAAGCCTGCGTCTGCCCCGAAGCCAGCGTCTGCGCAGGTGCTGACGTCTGCCCCGGAGGTGAAGACGGCGTCCGCTCAGGAGCCGGAGACAGCGTCTGCCCCGGAAGCGGAGCCAGCGCCCGCCCCGGAGCCGGAGCCGTCATCTATCCTGGAGCCGGAGCCAGCATCCGCCCCGGAGCCGGAATCAGCGTCTGCCTCGGAGCCAGCGCCCGCCCTAGAGCCGGAGGCGGCGTCTGCCCCGGAACCGGAGCCGCCGTCCGCTCAGGAGCCGGAGCCGGAGCCATCTGCTCCAGAGCCGGAGCTAGCGTCTGCCTCGGAGCCGGAGCCGGAACGGTCGTCCGCTCCAGAGCCGGAGCCTGCGTCCGCCCCGGTGCCGGAGCCTTCATCTGTTCTTGAGCCGAAGCTGGCATCCGCTCCGGAGCCAGCGTCTGCCCCCGAGCCTGAGACGGAACAGTCGTCTGCCCCGGAGTCGGGGTCAGATATGGAGATTTCGTCCGACCCGGAGCCAGAGTCTGCCCCGGAGCCGGAGCCGAAGCCAGCGTCTGCCCCTGAGCTGTCGTCTACCACGGTACCGGAGCCTCCGCCCACCCTGGCCTCGGTGCGGGAGCCTGCACCCGCCCCGGGGCCGTCGTCTGCCCCGCCAGCCGGCCTGGCCTCGGTGCGGACGAAGCCGGCACCGGTGCGGACTGGCCACGGCCACTCTGGTGCCAAGGCGGCATCCAAGACCGCCGGAACAGAGACGGTGTCACAGCCGGCCACCGTGCCAGTGGGAGACCCCGACTGGAAGAAACACCTGCGCGAGAAGCTGCACCGCTCCATGGAGAAACTCCGAGCGAAGCGCGCCGGGTCGACCGCCCATCTCACAAAGACGCTAAAACGGGGCGAGAAAGTGGCTCGCGGCTCGCCAGGAGGTAAAAAGCGGCGGCACATGGTGGGAGAGCGAGCGGACGGCGAGCCACCAGTTAAGAGTCGTCCCTCCTCGGCGACCGGGAGGCTGGACCGTTCCCTTCCAAGCACGCCAGACAGGGACGGCGGCGGGGGCAGCCGCGGCGGCTCGAGGACGTCGTCACCGGGGTCGTCCGGCCGCCAGGCGGAGAAGGGCTCGCGGCGCGGCCGAGGCCGGCTCTCGAGCCCCACGCCGCAGCCGCAGTCGGCACAGGACCGCGCGCCGCCGGTGGCCCGGCAGCCCTCGCTGCTGGTGGATGATCACGGGCGGAAGGTGAGCCGCGCCGGCGTCAGCGTGGAGACCCCGCTCACCGACCTGCTGGACAGCATGCTACTGGCCGGCACCGCGGCGCCGCAGGCCAACAAAGGTGAGAGGAAGAGAGGGATACCATGGGTCACCGCTGGCAGGGGTAGTCACTGCGGCATGACGCCCAATGAAGTGGTGCAGATGCTCGGAGGTGAATGCGTGTCTTCGCAACTGTTTAGAACTGGTATAAATCACAGGAAGGGAGGGCTACTGCTAAGCTGTTGATATGTTATTCTCACTGCGTCTCTTTTTTGTGGTATTTTGTCCCGTAGAAGCGTTTTGTCTGGCGCTGCATTTAACCAATTATATTCTTTATGTTCTGTCAGTTTCATCTGCTGTCGCCTGACACAGTTTCCTGACAACTGTTTCAGCGGGAGGCATTAAAAGACTGGCGCCGCACGGACCAAACAAGGCTATCCCCGCTTTCTGCTCTCCAAGAGGTCAGGGTAAGCCACTACCGAAGAAGCCCCGGAATCCGGAGACGGAGGCCACGGCTGACAAACCTGCTGAATCAGCGGCCACAGCGGCGGCGGCGGCGGCAACGGCGGAGTCATCGGGACGACCTTCCGCGGCGGCGTCCACCAGCGGCCGGCGTCGGCGGCGGCGGCGCGCGGGGCTGGACCGGCAGGTGTCGCGACAGCTGATGGACGATCTCCAACTGTCGGAGGATTCGCGCGACTCCTCAGCGCCGGGCACTTCCGCTGGGCCCGGCGGTTCGGCTGGGCCCGGCAGTCCGGCTCGGTCCGGCAGCAGTCAGTCACAGTCTGGAGACAGTCAGTCGCGGTCCAGCAGCAGTCAGTCGCAGTCCGGCGGCACTCAGTCGCAGTCCGCCAGTCCGGCTCGGCCCGGCTCTTCCTCCGCCACCTCCTCCTCCTCCGGCAGCGGCGGCTCCTCCTCTCCCTCTTCCTCCTCCTCTGGGTCCCGCTCGGCGTCCGCCACCTCGTGCAGCTCGGCCGTTCCCACCCCAGCGCCGCCTGAAGACTCTAAGGAACCGCCGCACCGGCCCCGTCCTTCCACGTCCACTCTGGTACGGACGCTGCCCGTGTTCGCCGCCACGCCGCCGCCGACGGCCGTGCGGCCAAAGTTCACCCCGCCGCACCCTGCCGTCGGTGAGGAGGACGGCGGGGGCGGTGATACCGGCTCCTCCGCGCCGTCTGCTCCTACTGCGACCGAGGGACCGTCCAAGACACCGCCAAAGCCGAAGGCAGACCGCGCGGCGACAACGCCGCCGCCACGACGTCTGTCGCCAAGTCCGCCACCACCGTCACCACCGCCTAAGGCAGGCCGTTCTTCAACATCGCTGCCCACCCACCTGGTCCGTCCTGCGGACCTGGTGCTGTGGGATCGAAAACGCGACCCGCTGGGCATCGGGTTCGCCAATGACGCGCTCTACAAGCCGCCCGAGCGCGGCCCGCAGTCTCCGAACGTCAGCTACTGCGTGCTGTGCTGGGACGGCGGCGACCTGGTGCTCTGCGACCGCTGCGAGCGCTCCTTCCACGCCGAGTGCTACGTCGGTGACGTCGATGACGAGGAAGAGTAAGTGACGGGATGGGAAGACGGTAGCGGTTAGCTGGCTCCGACGATTTTAGAACAGCGTTAGTGATTTGGGGTATGTTTTTTAGTTAGGAAGTTCAAAGCTATCTAGAGGCCTGACAGTGGCCACAGTTCAAGCCTGCTTTTGGCCTGAGAAGAAACTAATTTATATCTTGCCCCCTCACCAATCCTAAATGACTGCTCTAATCATTAGTCGATAACTGATATCAATGTAACGTCTTGCGGGTCCGATTTCAGCGTCTGAACGTTACTTGGCATTTTTGTCTGCAGTTTTACCGCTTTACAGCTCGCTCTTGAAACTTAGCACGGCTGCCGAGTGTATCTCTATTTTATAACCCCAATCTCCCTCCACAACCGGATGTGCGAAGCTTCGGTGCCCGCACATTGTGCCAAATTACGACGGCATGCCCGAAGTCGGCATGACATTGCTTTTTCGCGTATCTGCGTGCATCTTCTCGCGATAAGCAACCAGGTATAAATGTCAGTCCCCCGATGGCTACCGACGCCGGAGTCCCTGCGGCGATCACGTGATTACTGACGTCACAAGGTCAATGGACACGCACTGGTCACATGCCGGAATCAGCCGGCGAACAGTAAAACCACAGTGCGAACACGTGCTCATGTCACGGCCAAATTTATGGGCCGTGTTCGTAAATTGCCGATAACGCAAAGCGAGCGTCCGTGCCTTCTTGATCTTCTTGATCTGTACGGACTGCAGAGTGAAGGTTCCTTTTGTTCGTAGATGATAGGCTTAGCTTCTTTGTGTAGGTGAGAAGCATGATTGGTTCGGCTTAAATGTTATCGCTTTTGAGCCACAAGTATGCTTGATATGACCCGATCGGTCGTATAATAATAATGATCGGTCGTTATAATAAGTGTTACTGCTACATCGACGTGAATTACACACCCTAGCCCCGTTGACATTTTAATGACTCCTTCCCATAATGAGTGATGTGTCCCTCCCTGCCTTCTCAATGTCACTGTGTAATGTCTCCATCTCTCTCCAATCAAGAGAAGCTGTGCCTGCCGTGCCTCCCTCCCTTCCTTCCCAGTGAGTGTCTGACGTTTCTCCCCCATCATCTCTCCCCAGCAAAGAGTGGCAGTGCCTGATGTGCCGGCCCATACCACGCGTCCCGGCGCCAACGGACCGCCGTCGGGGCAAGACCCTCACCCGTGCCGAGAAACTCGTCGCTCGCCGGCTGCTCCTGGAACTCTACGCAGCCTACTACCCCTGTCTCTATTTCAAGAACGCTGAGAACATGGCCGTGAGTTAACCAGAGATCAACACATTCACACTTTATTCTAGACAAATCGTTATCTCATGCAACTTAACATTTCAGATTTATTGAAAATGACATTGTGTTACAATTTGTGATAATTCATGCAGCCCTATCCAGAGCGCGTGTCTATTGGACGATCCAAAGTCCCACATGTAATCACCTGCAGCCTTGCCTCACACTCACACGTGTCGTTGCTGAGATATGCGCACAGGTGTCGGCCCGCCCGCGGCGTGTGTTCCGTGGATAGGCACATCGGGCGTCGACCCGATGTGATCCTATCGTCACTCTGACTGATCCCCGACCTCCTGTGTCGACAGATGCTGCCGGAGTACCGGCGTATCGCCAACCCCGTCTCCCTGGACGACATACGGGACTGCCTGCTCAATGACGGCTTCCCCACGCTGATGGAGCTGCTGGCTGCGCTGCGCGGCATCATGGGACTGGTCAGCGTGCTGAAGGTACGGCCGGCGAGACGCTGAACAATAAATGGCAATGGGGATGGGAATCTGATGTAGGATTTACCGGCGAAAGGTATTGTTTACCATGCATTCCATTAACTCGGGGTACGTGTTTGTGGGTGGTGTATAAAACAATGGAGCGAACACATTTCAAATGTAAGACGCTGAGATAGTATGTAGTTGGAAGACGTGCCGTGCCGTAACCGTCGTCCCTCTCTCTCCTCGTCGCCGATAGCGGGGCAGCGCAGCTAAGAAGTACCTGAAGGAGTTGGAGGAGGTCTTTGACATGTTCGTGCGGGACCATCTGAACGAGCACTGGCTCATGCTGGACGACGAGCCAGACCGGAAGAAACGCGCCAAGTAGCCGGGGTCGGCGCAGTCCCGCAGCTGAGCCGTCTGGTCGGCCTTCTCGGGAATAACGGAGCTGGTAGAACGGGTGAGGCTCGAACGTTCGATAGGTATTAGTGGTTTTCTCAGTGGACTTTTGGCTATCGTTTTATATGCATGCTTACCAACGAGTGATGTGGAATGTGTATGTTTATAATGGTGTATTTTGGTGTTTGTGAGACGTCTGCTATACAGTTATTGAAGAGCAGCAAGATGTGAGGTCACCGAGTATCTGACGAAAGATCGACCTTGTTTGCTGAATGTGTATTTTGAAACGTTTTAAAAGCACTGAAAGGTGTCAAGCTTTTGCGCGGCACTACGGTGTGCGGCAGTCATCGTAGCTCCCGTTGTTGCACTTCATGAGTCGCTTAGTACATTGCTGGCAATTTAAGTTTAGCTAGCTATGTCTTTCAACTGGTGAGCTGATGTCTGTATTCGGAAGTGTACTTTGAGATCTGTAGCGAGTCTTCATGGCGGTCTACACAAAGTGTATAACATCTCTTTCTTGTCGCGATTAATGTCGATCGTCGGCTGTGCGGATGCATTTAGTCTTGTTGACATAGGTCGGTGTGTATGGATCTGTCACAACGAAAACGTGGAAACGCTACGATAACTCTGAACGGTAATGTGTATCGCGGCGAACTGAGTGCCGTACATGCAGGCTTCATGTAAGCTGTGATATATCGTCACCGTAGTGTACAGTCTGTCTTAAAAGTACCGCGCAAAGTGACGGTGGATCCGTCAAGCCTGACCGAGGAAGGGCCTGCTAAATTCAAGTCACCGAAGCAATTGACATCCTCGTCCATTCCCCAGGTCAATTGGTTCGGTGATTTTCAAATTATAGCAGGCCCTTCCTCGTTCAGACTTGATGGATCCACCGTCACTTTGCGCGGTACTTTTAAGACAGACTGTACAAACAAAACGGAAACACATGGCCAGTTGGCAGTTAGCGACGCCGCTCGGGACTCTTAGATGAACCTTACCTACATTTGACCGGAATTTCGAAATTTAGCGAACGTAGTGCGGCGTGTATACTGTACGTTGTGCGTTGCCTTAATCTCAGCTCGTTGCCTTCTCAACTGCATTCGATTCCCCGTAGGTCATTTTCAGCACTAGCTTGGCTGTGATCCGACATTTTGGTGCATATTTTTGACGCGTTTTTTCAGTCTGCCTTTGGCTATGTGTATATGATCTAATCTTGATACGCTCAGGTCACGCCATGGGCGAAACATGCCTCGGCTAGGTGTAAAGGCCTGGCTACACAATGCGTTTTCTGCGTGCGTTTTAGCGGGTTTGCGTTTTTTTGCGTAATATCGTTCTAGACAAAAAAAAAAACTTATAAATATAATTTTTACATTAGTTGTGCATTAGTTATGTACAAAAGCTAATAAAGCTCTTATATTAACAAAAAAACGTAATATCGTGTTTTTTCTAGAACGATTTAACCCGCAAACCCGCAAAAAACGCACGCAGAAAACGCATAGTGTAGCCAGGCCTCCATGCCGCTGCCACAGTGCCATTTCACAATCGCCCTCGGCAGAGGACGTGCTCTGCACCTCACGTGCTGGCCAGCTGTGTCCGGTAGGTGCGCTGAGACGGTGCCTGTGTGACCGCCCATATTGTACGATATGTAGGTACGCTCCGAATCTCGGACGCATGTACAAATATAAATCAAACATCGAACGCGAATGTTTTCTGTTGAATGTGGTAAGTGTATGAAGTTTTTTTTTTTTTTTTGGCGGTTCGTTGGCCGAGAAAATCAATACGATCACTGAAATCATTTATTTATACGGGTCATAGAAAATACGTTATTCGCATAGAGCTCCGGCCGTGTGTGTTAAATACTGGAGTGACTGGTGGAGATAGGCAGCTTGGAATGATGCATATTATCGCACCGTCCATGTACTGAATCGCTGGCTGTTTGGGTCGGGTCGCGGCCATCAGTACCTCGGTGTTTCTCTGGGAGAACACTCCGATTGTGACGCGCTGGCACGTGCCATGGACGCCGCCCGGTCTGGTGACCCGTATGGCGCGACACGGTCCGGCCACAGTCATTTCCACATAATGCCTGAGGACCTCGGTTTGTGTCACGTGCCCCTCGGGGGGCGTCAGACGTGGCCAAGGTGTGGCGGCTTCGCCCCGGGTCCACCCGGCACGGGTCAGGGGTCGGTGACCCCCGCCCAGGTAACATCTGCCGGGAGGGGTAGATGTCGGCAGGAGTACGGTGGATAGTAAGGTTTGGTGGCGGGTCTAGGTACCTTTACATGCTTTGTGACAGGGTTTGATAAAGAATTCCCAGACCCACAGCCATCCACTCAGACTCAACAAGTCGGACACACGTTCTAGAAAACAGACTTGACGTGTAACGTCAGCAGTAGTCATTTAGGTCAACATTGCCGAAATTTGATCGCATGCCAGTTATCCGAAGCGAATGCGATTTATAGGTTCATTGCAACTGAAAGTAATTAAAGAATGGCACATTTTGGTCTCTTGCACACTTCTAACATATGAGACGGTTTCAACAAGGACAGTAACCGAATACGTTCAACCCGGAATTTTTCGTATGACACCCTTAGCGTCTCGGCCAAGGTCATGTGTGGTTCGGCCGCTGATGACAGGCGCGGTCACCTGTTCGAGCACCTGTCATGGTCGGACACACCTGTCATGATTTTTTTAGGGGGGGGGGCTGACACAGCTGTGACCCTACTTAGGCGATTAGTGATTGTCTCGGCCAAAAACCAACAATCTCAAGAGAGGCGACGATCAGTATCGGCAGCCGGCGAAGATAGTTGAAGAAATATGCGAAGAAATATGTTCAGTGCACATATGCCTTCGTACATAAACCACTACAATAGCTCAGAACATGATTTGTTGTTGTTGATTGATATTCAAGGGCCTATACTGGACTTCGGAGTAAAAGTGCTAAGCCAAACAAAAGCTAAAAAAAAAAAACATTTTGTAGAATACAAAAGCTCAAATGCATTTAGAATTTCGGCACCAGTTAGGTACACTAAAAATGGTGCGATGACAAATTAAAAAAATGTCTTCCTAAAGAATGTTCGCACCCCAATAAGTTTATATCAACGAAAATGCGAATGGTCATTGGTCACCCACCAATTGGGTCACCATTCGCGTATTCCACGGAACAATACAACCCGGGTGGGAACTGGGAGACTGGCCGTGACAAATCACTCCCTCCCCCCCTCCCCGGGCGGGAGGGGTGGGAGGGAGCGTGAGAGGGCACATCGCCGCGACCATCAGCGACAGGTCAGATCGGCGGCGGCAGGGGCCGAGTTCACAGCTGCGGGCACACCTCCGTCAGAGCGGCGACGAGCAGCGGGCGGGCGAGACGGGCTCACCGGCGCTGAGGAGCCGTGCAGCGCCGACCTCAGCGAGTACAGAGAGGAGGAGACCGGCGAGCTGACCCGAGACCAGGTCACGGACATCCAAATTCGTCAGTCTTCAGGACGGCAGTCGGCACTGGTTAAATTCACCGGTACACAAGCCTGGTGAAGCAGCTAACAGGTGCAACAAGCGGAGTCCGTCGCTCGTGACGCGTCACGGCGGAACTGTGACGCCCCCGAACGGTGTCACCCTTCACTCTGTGTGTCCGAGGGAGCGCCGTCACATCACTGACGGACCACTGACCGGCGCGGCGCCATGGCTAGCCAGGTGAGGGTCGGTCCATCTATGTATGTGTCATCGTCATCGCTAATCACTTAGCTTTACCTAATTCAATCAATTGACTGATCTGCCTGCTTCAGAATATTCAGAACACTCGTGTGTAAATTTCACTCGTTTCACTCGTGAAATTTACACACTCGTGTTTAAATGATCCCACTCGTGCATCAAATATCCTTTACTCACGGGAAGGCGTGAATAAAGTATAATTTATAAATTCTTTTACACCATCAATTACCTATTAATTTTTCACACAATTTTGTTGGGGTAGCTACTGGAGACTGAGAAACGTCTAAATCATGACAACCTTATAAATTACGTTTAAGAAAATTGCTTACAACTACCATGCCATTTACAGGTCTCCGGTATCCCGAACAACATATTCACTTCCCCGCCTGAAAAAATCGATTCCGATTCGGTCATGAAAATTGTCTCAAATGAAACACATACGGAACCATATTTTCGTGCGCTAATAAAAAGGCAACTTTTCAAAGATATTTTTAAAATGCAACAACCAGCACTTAGGAAAGCATAACATGCAAAACAGTACTCAACTGAGTACAGAGTTCATAAAATCGACCATGGCCAATGCGTTTTATGTGGCTGATCGTACTTCAGATATATTGGTGGAACCTCCCACAACAATACAAAACCTGACGTTTTCAACAATCATGCTCATTTAGCGTTGATTCCGCGCACTGCGTAATTCTCTCCGTGGTGACGCAGTCATTAATGCGTTTATGTGGGAACGCCCTCACCGGTGACAGGAAGTGAGGGGGAGGGAGAGGGGAGTGGGAAGAGGGGAGGGGAGGGAGGAGAGAGTGAAGGGTGAGCGATCGATGCCACGTGCAGCCGTGAGAGCGGGCAGTGGCCGACAACGCACCTGGCCGGTCGCTGTATAGATTTTGGGGGGACAGTTGGGGCGAGCAGGGGACGCTCGGTGTATATGGAGGGTATTGCGACCCTCGGGGCGGGGAGTCGCCGCGGTACGGTGGACACTGGACAGCGGTCAGTGCGAGTGACGCTGTGGACAGCAGCGGAGTGGACGTACCGCGGTGGATAGTGGAGACGCGCTGAAAATAGTGGACAGAGTGGACGAGTTACCAGCGGCGGTGGACGAACTGGAATAGAGACACCGTGGTTGTGAAAAATATTGTGCGCTTTTGCAATAAATAAAGCACACCACAGTACAACAACACAACATAAAAACGAGAGGAGCGCCGTGTTAATCACTACGAACGAGCCAAATCGCCTGCGTTCGTGTGAAGTCGATTCGCGGATCAAGTGCGAATCACGCCGAGGATAGAACGGCGGGTAGCCAATAGGACGGCGCGTTACGGACTGACAGGACGGAGCGTTTGAGACGGACCGTATCCCGAACTCAAACGGAGCTCGATGCCGCGACTGGGCAGCTCCGACCGGTGCCTGGGTACGGACCGGAAGTATGTCGCTTCCGGTGATCCCGCCGTCATCCTGACGGCCTATACATTGTCGCTGCAGGTACTAAGAAGGGTAATGTAAATAAATGCGAAAGATCAAAGAGATAGGCTGTGCAAATAAACCGAAAAATGTTCACTGTTCTTTGTAATGTTCCACTGTTAGCCTGATTTCTACTTATGTCCATTGATACGTTACACATAAAAAGCGTTAAAGTTTTCATTTCCCCGGTACCTAAACTCTTCAAAAGCCCCCGCGGTTCATCATAAGTCCGTGTGTACCAATCCCATCCTTATAACCCTTGATGCACCTACAATTGAAAATCGTTCTTCTAATGTTCTAACTAGAGTTCGTTATCAGCATTCAGTAGTGCCTTTTGTAAAGGTGCATTTGCAGTGGTTGTAAACGCATAGTAACACCACATACGCTTCGGATCACGCCATACAATGTGTCATAAAGTTCGTCTTTACAGTGGCAGTAAATCTCTTTTTTCGTAATGACACAACAAATTGAGGACGTCAAAATGATTACCTTTCAAGTATATGATACTAGTAGGTAGAAAAAGCAATGCCGAGGAGGGAATTGAGAACTTAATCGTAATTATCATGATTTAAGAGAATGCCACATATTCTTGTTCACAAAAAGTGTTTTGTAGCGATTACCTATCATTACTTAAGAACATCGAATTGTGATGTGACCAATAAAAGATTCCCTATCACTGCTTGGTATGATTCACAGGTTCATTGTCTATGACCACTGTAATAGCATTGCAATTGCATAACAAAGTTGCATTTTTTGCGAAAGTCTCTATGAAGGGATTAGCACCGCTGAATACAGTGAAGTTGAACCGTGAATGAAAGCCTCAAACCCTCCATAAACATCTGTTCACAGTACACAGAGATGAGCGAAACCAATGGCAAACAGACGAAGGAGCCCATCACGACAGCACAAACGCCCGATATGAACGGGAAAGGAGCAAAAAATGTCGATGCAGAAGGAAACGTAAGTACCAACTACCATTAGAGTGAACGTAAAATGCATTCCTATTCTAGCGTTCTTAAATCAAATAGGTACCTGAACAAAAAGATCATCGGAATAGATCGTTTAAAAACAACTGATACGAGTACATTTTACATTTGTACATTTACAGACGTACATTTGTCTTCCAAAGCACTTTATCGGGTCGTTGCGTACCGTTTACTGGTGTAGCAACTGTGATTCATATACAGCGCAGGTAAAACCGTCAGAGCCATCAGAGACTCCTTATTCTGACCTCTCTCGCCCTCCATCTGACCTCTGACCGCTGACCGGTCAGGAGGGCGCCGCCGACCAGGAGCGGGACCAGTGGAGCAGTCCGATCGAGTTCCTGCTCTCCTGCGTGGCCATGTCGGTCGGTCTGGGAAACGTGTGGCGCTTCCCGTTTACGGCGTACGAGAACGGAGGCGGCGCCTTCCTCATCCCCTATTTGGTGGTGCTGCTCTTCATCGGTGAGAGGGGGAGAGGGAGAGGGAGAGGGAGATAGAGAGAGAGAGAGAGAGAGAGAGAGAGAGAGAGAGAGAGAGAGGAGAGAGGAGAGAGAGAGAGGAAGAGAGAGAGAGAGAGTAAGGAGGGGGTAGCAAGCTATGATGCAAAAAGTAGGCTATAATGTGCTTGTTTATTTGATCAGTCTATTTTGGTTGCAGTCCAATAATCCGACATGCTAAAGAAATCATTACTTGTCCTCTTCCAGCTCGATCACGCTTTACATAGCGAGATAAGGCAACTTGATTGATCAGCCAGTTTGATAAACCTCGCATTATTTGCATGCTCCCACAGCATTTGCTTGCTGGGGTTGTTATGCTTATGCAGCTTTAGGCGGGAAATTATCAGATATACAGTTTTAAAATGACGGTCCATATTTTCGTGTTCACAAGTGTGGACTTTTCTAACCAAGTGAATCAGAGTGCTAACCGCAACTGGCTGTAGTTCCCACACAAAGCGTCAAGAGGTTCAAAGCTAGACAAGTGTTTCTAACGCTATATGTGGAGGCCGCCGCACCCTGTGACTAATCCTGTATTCCACAGGAAAGCCGCTGTATTTCATGGAGCTCGCCATGGGCCAGTTCTCGTCGTACGGCTGCGTCCGAGTGTGGAACGTGGTGCCGGCCGCCAGAGGTAGGTACTAGGTAGGCTGTGCCGCAATGCACCAGCCGCCGCCTGGGTGCGTAGGCTGTACCGCCCAGCACTAGCGGTTCCAGGGGATCGTCTGAGAATGGCTCAGCTCAGCAGACAGTATCGGCGGAACACCTTCAATTAAGGGGGGGGGGGGGGCACTGCCGACTTTTGGTCCCATTCTTTCCATGCAACGCCCATAGGGCTAATGTTAAAATGCCAAAATCAAAGGGGGGCACGGTGCCCCGTTGCCCTCCCCGTTCCGCCGCCTATGTCAGCAGACAAAGGCAAAAGCGAGGCTGCTAAAACGGTTCACCTATTCAAGAGCTCGTTCCCCGTTACCTGAAAATGATAGAACTTCGTGCAAATATAGTAGCTACATATCTAATACATCCACTTGTATACCTGATTCTCGAACCGACCTCGGAGTCACGAAGAAGTTGATCAGTGATCTCACGCCACCCACCGGGACCGCACCATCAGTTCGTGCCGCTGCCGCCAGGCGTCGGGTACGGCCAGATGATTGGCACCGCCTCCGTCGTGTCCTACTACGTGGCGCTCATGGCGCTCACCGTGTTCTACTTCTTCGCGTCGTTCTCGGCGGTGCTGCCGTGGACCTACTGCGACCCGAGCTGGGCCGACATGAGCCACTGCGTCGACCCGACCACCAACATCTCGGAGCTGAACCACACGCACGGAGATGACAGCCTGATCGGATCCACCGAGATGTACTTCATGTGAGTGATCAGATGGGGGTTTGAGACGTGGTAAGAGCAGAAGCAATAGGGGAGTGGAGACTTGAAGCAAGCATTAGGAGATGAAGATGTGTTTAAAGTGACCATCCCACCTTAACATTACTTTTGAGTTGAGATAGCCAAATTGGTGGCCATGGCCTGCAAATACCGGTTTCGGCACTCACGACATCGAAAAATGCTTTAATTCGGAGATAGGTATGGAATTTCAAACTTGCAGTTTTTGGATTCTAAGGGGCTAATGCATTGGAATGCCCCCTTAGAAGTTGTGACGTCAGCGGCGATCTAACGATTTTAAAACCTTATACTAACATCTTTGTGAAGCAGTGGTGGACGGTGGTATATGCTATTTGCGCGCAACATCTGCCGCAAACGCCGCACTTCCAAAATGAAGTCGCTAGGAACAGCGGAGATCCCAAAAAGTAAACAAAAGTAAAAGTATAATATCTTGAAAACCAGTGAGTATTTTTCGGTGAAATTTGGTAGATATTCGTTTTTGCTCTTTCTGAACCGAGCGACATCACTTTCATGCCAATTCATTAACTTTTTTGAAGGTAGGAGGGTCCCTTTAATGAATTGCGGTAGAAGAGGGACAGACAAGTAAAGTCGACAGCATCCACAATTATGGATTTTAGTGTTGATTTTCCAGAGGCAATTAATGAAAAGACAACATTAATTTGAATATGAAAGTCAGACGAACTGCTTCAGTGCTAAAGAACAACTACCAATGCACGATAGGCCAGGCTATCCCGGAGCGTCCCTGGTAGCTTTCACACTATTTCAACTAGTAAAACCTCCCCTGCCACAGGAGGAACGTGTTAAAGGAGCTACCCAACATCGACGACGGTATCGGGACGCCCGAGTGGAGACTGACGCTCTGTCTGGCCTTCTCGTGGATCGTGCTGTTCCTGACGCTGGTGAAGGGTGTCCAGAGCTCTGGCAAGGTGGCCTACTTTACAGGTAAGCGGCGTATTGAGCCGGGAAGGCTGTATGTTCGGCAAGGCTGGGCGGGACGACGGTAATGACAGAAATCTTGGGATCGTGAATGATCTCGGAAAAGTGAAGTAGATGAGTCAAGCCGGCGATATTTGGCTAGGGTGCCAAATCACGTCGCATAGAATAAGCATACAAGGATATAAATAGGTCAAAACATCAAACATAAGTCTGACATGCGACAGCCATCAAAACATCTTTGTAGTTAATTTCAATACAAAACTTCCCCCTTCGACGATGTATCACTGTACGACTGACGGCACCCCACGTACCGCCCTGCAGCGCTGTTCCCGTACGTGGTTCTGATCACCCTGTTGGTCCGTGGGCTAACGCTACCCGGCGCCATGGATGGAGTGCTCTTCTACCTGGAGCCGCAGTGGCACGAGCTGCTCAACCCAAAGGTCAGTCGCAGTGAGGATCAGTCCGTGCCACTGCCATAGCAAATGAAATGTATGACAGTTGGTGTTGTGTTGACTGTTGACAAAGAACATTAAAAGTATGTATGTAAGTAACAAGTATCTATCTAGCGCATTTCTACTGTCAAATGAGCTCAAACAATGTCGAGTAGCTGATGCAACGTAAGCCATATTTGAAAGAAAACCGACAATCGTTCGAAGTTCTCTGATGATCGCTGCTCTTTTTTATTTCACGTAACCTTAACCTTGGACCTTTAACCTTGGACTTTCTCAACAAAGTCACAATGATTCGATCCCAATGCGAAACACCGCACGGCCACCGTCTTCCGTATCGCACCCCGCTGATCCGGCCGAACATCTGACCGCCCCCCCCCCCCCCCCCCAGGTGTGGTACGCGGCGGTGACGCAGTGTTTCTTCTCACTCTCCACCGGCTTCGGAGCGCTCATCATGTTCTCCAGCTATAACGGCTTCAAACACCCCGTCGCCAGGTGGGAGAGCCGACGGCATGGCGAGATCCACCGACAGCAACGGGTTATCAAGCCAAAGACATGAGGTGCAATCGAGGGATGCCTCTAAATCAAATCAGTATGAATCGTTATCGTGCTCCTGCTTTGTGTTTGCCCAACTCTTGACATTGAGTCTTGCGGTGCAGCATAACTTCAGGCGTTCACCACTACCGCCATCTATCGAAGCTAGATTGAAGCATAAGTACACAGACTATCTGCTGTTTGAGCCGCAGCCCACAGCACAGGAACTCGTCGTATCAGACACCACCGGAACAAACCACGCATTTCTCGCTTTCTCTCCCTCAGAGACGCCACCATTATCAGCATCACGGACATGTTGACCTCCTTCCTGGCGGGCTTCACCATTTTCGCCATCCTGGGTAACCTGGCTCACGAGCTGGACACCACGGTGGACCAGGTCATCAAGGGCGGCGGCACGTCACTGGCCTTCATCTCGTACCCGCAGGCGCTAGCCAACTTCCACACCCTTCCACAGGTCAGATCATGTGTAGACCTCCATATCGAGAGAATTGTTCCCATGTCGATTCAGAGAGGTTTACGGTAGGATGTCATTACTGTAACGTCATAGAATCTAAGTGGCGAGACGACTGGGTGGGCATTAAGACCGCATAATTTGAAATATGCGGTACATTAGGGTGTTTCACATTTTCAAAGTGCCATATTGCGAGTCATATCGATGTTCCCCTCAAATGTCATCTGCTCACAAGTTTCTGTGTAAAATTTCACTTCATTCTGATGATGTTTAGAGGTCGCACATTTCTGCGACTTTTCATCTCTGATTTTGTTTCTGGCCGTAACATGAGTACCTAGTCTTCCTGCGAACTGATTTGGTTGAGAAACCCAGGCAGTGGCGGCGGAATAGGGGGTGCAGCTGCACCCCCATCGAAAAACATGGGGGTGCAAACATATCTTTTTTGCACCCCCAAAATCCATACAAGGGGCCCGTCGCACCATCCAATACATTTTCTCCTGAAAACCAGTGATCGGGAAACGAACACTGATGTGGAAACATCCGGGGTGTCTATTTATGGTCAGGAGCGCCCCATGCTAGTCGGGGCCTCCACACCGGCTAGAAGTGTCCCGAGCCGCGTTTGGTGCTCCACACGGCATCTGAGGGCCCCCACGACGGCCTCAGAGGGCCCTTTTATGACGATCTCTGAGGGCTCCCACCTGAGGGCTTTGTCCCCTGGGGCCCTACAACGGCCACTAAGGGCCCTCGTGACGACCGCTGAGGGTCCCACAGAGACTCCAGGGGCCACGCTGGCCTCTGAGGGCCCCTATGACGGTCTCTGAGGGCCCTCGTGACGGCCCTAGACCCAACTCAAGTCTGAGGGCCCATTTGGCTTTAGGCGGCCCAGCGACGGCCTCTGAGGGCCCCAACACAACCAGGCTGCGGGGGCTATGCTGGCATCTGAGGGCTCTGCAACGGTCTATTGAGGGCGGCAGGGCCCTAACAACGATGGCCTGCGAGTCGTGGAACTCAACCGGAAGGCGCTGCCCAAGCGCACCAAGGAAGGATGTGCCCCCTTCTCTGTGTAACGAGTTTTGGTGACAAAAGTGTGCGACCCCTAAATATACTTAAATTTGGGTTTCAAGCATATCAATCGATTCAGTTTTACGGGTAGAGTTGGGGCAAAGTCGATATGGCTGAGTTTTGAACCAGCATTATTTTACCATAGTGTAATGAAACACCCTACGGTACATGTATCCCCAAAAACGCACGTCGCACAGTGCCTTCTTACAGGACAACGCATTGAGCACGGGTTTTACGGAATGAATATTATTATTGAAGTGATTGAACTACTTATGATTCATAACACGTAGCTCAAGTTGATTCACGGTGGATTTCCCTGGTCAGAGACCATCTCCTAACGCACCTCCCTGCTTTCTGCCGACTATCACACCCGTTCTGTTCTGTTCACAGTTGTTCGCAGTGCTGTTCTTCCTGATGCTGTTCACGCTGGGCGTGGGCTCGGCCACGGCTCTGATGGGCTGTTCTGTTCACAGTTGTTCGCGGTGCTGTTCTTCCTGATGCTGTTCACGCTGGGCGTGGGCTCGGCCACAGCTCTGACCGGCTGTATCATCACTGTCGTGTGTGACAACTTTCCCAACTGGGCGCGCTGGAAGGTCTCCGCCGGCATCTGCATCGCCGGCTTCCTCATCGGACTCATCTACGTCACACCGGTCAGTGCGCGTGACGACACAGGGCAGTCGCTATTATTCAATATTCATGCGTCATTACTATTTGAGCTCATTGAATTCAGGACTTCTCTCATATTGTAGCAGGTCATTATCGACTGATTCAACAGAACGAGGAATCCAGCATTTACGGGGCGTTCCAAGCTTGTCTTTCATCCATCCCACACATGTCCACTTTGTACAGGCATAGACCACCACATATCGCTCAGGTTTTCTACTCAACTCTCCGAATTCTCTCTCGCCAAACTTCAACCCAACTCCCATCCACAGGGCGGTCAGTTCCTGCTGAACCTGGTGGACTACTTCGGCGGCGGATTCATCATCTTCGTGCTGGCCACGCTGGAGACGATCGCCATACACTGGGTGTACGGCATCAACCGCTTCTGTGACGACATTCAGTTTATGATCGGCCAGCGGCCCAACATCTACTGGCGCTTCTGCTGGGCCGTCTTCATCCCCATCTCACTGATCGCCATCTTCATCTACTCGCTGGTCAAGATGGAGCCGCTGCTGTACGGAGATGTCGGCTACCCAGACATCGCCATCAGTGAGTGACCGGATAAGCAGGCGGTCTACCGGTGCTGAAAGACCTTTTTTATTTTTACAGTTTGTTGTTCTCCCAATCAGAAGAATATTTTGCTTTTCTTCATGAAAATGGACGCTTGCTTCATTTTGACAGGTTTTGATGATTTTAATTGCTGTTCATCATGAATGCCAACAACAACGGTAGATACATCTCGAGTAGTCGAGTACTCGGTACTATCTACTCGAGCATTTTGCCTTCACTTTCTGACGTGTAATCCACCGTCCCATGTCCGTTTCCCCACAGCCTGCGGCTGGGTGCTGACTGGCTGCGCGCTGGTCCCGCTGCCCGTCTGCTTCATCCACGCCATCTACGAGAGCCCCCACAGCGGCCTGATGAACGTGAGTGACACAATAACAGCGCACTCGGCGACCGGGGGTAACGGGTAACTGGAACGGGTGGTGGGTGGATTGTAAGGCAGCGCAGTGTTTAGGTTGATCAATGATATATTTGATATTGAGGAATGGAGAATGTTCATAGAAAACCAGCAAACAAATATAGCATATACAGAACCGATTCAATTGCCTAGGCTTAATTACCTATTTATATCTTTGGGCACAAGAGATCATTCTGAGCGACAGAGCTTGCATGCCACCAAAACCAACAATCATAAGCCATAACCAAACAAAATGCCCTAGCTCACTGAACCGATTCCCATCTGACGCCCTGTTCTCTTCCGTCCACAGAAGATCCGCCACTCGTTCCAGCCGAACCGGCAGTGGGGCCCGATGAGGTCGCTGGACCGCGAGGCGTGGCTCATCCACACAGGCCAGGAGGAGCGACTGCACGGCACACAGGCCAACCTGAACGCTGCGTTCGCCGCCAGCACGGCTGAGCTAGACACGGCAGGAGGAGGGGACGCTCCGGCCGAGCCCGAGACCCGAACACAGCTGTAGGGTCCCCCTGCAGAGGGATTGCGGAGGTGTAGAGTGAACGACAGCTGGTGGAGCGGTTAGGAGGGTAAAGGAAAGAGATTTGGAAGAGAGAGAGAGAGAGAGAGAGAGAGAGAGAGAGAGAGAGAGAGAGAGAGAGAGAGAGAGAGAGAGAGAGAGAGACCCACAAGTGTGTGCTGTGCGATGAGCAGGATTATTACGGGCTATGGAAGAGCCCGGATCGAGTGAGGAGCGTAATTACGCCCCAGTCACTGTGGAGACCAGTGTTTCCTATTGAAACTACATCCCTACCCAGTACCCACAGGGAGGGATGTAGTTACGACGTGCAAAGATGAGAGATTCGGTGTGATACACTGTGGTCAAGATAGTGAGGTGGGTGTGTGTCTTCGGTAACGCGAGTCAGACATGGCATCTGATATCTGAGGAACGTATAATGAACTGAAGTGGGCATTAGCTACCAATTAGCACAACAATCCAGCAATAATTGTGTTGACTCATCCGAGAAAGTTGAAATGCACGAGCTGGCTACCCACGACAAACGTTGTGATAGGGACAAAAGGCGAACTAGCATCTACAAATTTAGACATCTTTGGGTTGTAGGAACTCCGTGAATCATAATGATATCCCGTGGGACCAACTACGCAAAAAGCCAGTACCTTATAATTAAGAACAACTTTAAAATGTATTCCGTCCAAGAACCCTGTCCATATTTCATGGCTGTCTTGCATGATTGATCGCTTATGATTGTCGCCATTTGCATGAGAAGTGTCAGATTGTAGCACGTTGGATAGACATCACACTGCAGCTAGGTAAACTAACGAAACTAAAGGCGTACTGAGAAAGGAGATGGGCGAAAGTTTTAGCTTAGATCGAGTGATTGAGCATTTGAACAAGGCATTGTACCATGGTATCACGTATCACGATGTGCCGAGTGTCTGACACGATGCATCGAGTTTCTTATATGTATCTTGGTCTGACACGACCAGTTACAAGGCCAATGGACTTCTTTGAATAGTTTTACGCGTGCATTTTATGTAGCAACGGTGTAACGCTGTAATTTATTAAGTGACATTGATTTGAAAACCGACAGAAATCAAATATTCTGCTGGTCCCATTTACGAACAATTTGTGTGTGTATTATCCGTACGAAGAAGCTGGTTAAATGTAAGAGCATCAGGCATTATGTGAAGCCGTAAGTAGCGCGAACACAGTGTGGCAACAGCGATTGTCTTTTGCTATGTGGTTTCTTTAATTATGCATCTATGCTGTCATGTGAAAACTTGAGGATGCACAATGGCACTAACACACGATAATTGTGAATATATGGATGTCCAGTTACATGAATACATACTACATATGCAACAAGTAACTTATGTAGTTTAACATTAATTTTGTTCCTCTTACTTTCTACCCGGTAGAAAGCGTATACTAAATGCGTGGCAGTGGGCATAGTGTTAAGCCTGAGTAAATTTGCCCATCCCAAGGCAGGGATAGGAATGACACTCGACAAGGTTTATACAGCAAAAACCCTTTTGATCACCTTATATTTTTGGTATACGAGCACGTGTTTCGGGCGAGAACATCCAAAACAATAACAACACACTTTTCGGCAGTCTCACTCACATACATACGGTCTGCAGCTGCATGAAAGCTCGCCACAGCGAATCACATTTCTCTCTCATCCATCTACCCTGGAACTTCCTCTCCCAACATCAATCACAATCAGGGCTTTGACGCACTGCAGGGAAGCGGTCTCTTTGACTTTGATGGCCGGTCAGCCGAGGTAAAGTCCTTAACATACATCAGGATGATCTAGCCCGACTGAACTTGGGATCACATGGCATGACTAGACAAGAAAGCCAATTATCCCAGCAGGCTATCGAAACAAACCGTTTTAGATATCTAAGGAGTCGGCTAGCAACTAAGTGTCAGCAAGACGGGATGATACTATGGTGTTGAACGTCGGATGTCTGTTGTGAAATTTACCTACGAAAATGACGAAAACCTGCAGCTTGTCGTAAACTACTCTAAATAAGTTAGGAACCCGCGCCAGAGGTGGTGCATCATGATATAAAATGTCGCTTGGTAGTCATAAAACTACCGAAACAAATCCCTAACCAACAGTGCAAAAATGGCTTTTCCTGCATTTGATATGGCAATGCAAACTCTCCTAACCGACACTTTTGAACAAATTGCACATGATATTTGTTCCAATCACACTGAACCAATCGAAGTCCTTCTTCAGTATGACAATCTCAAACGGAACACGCATCCATCGTACTCGGTCAGGTACTTGCCTTGGCCAAATTATTGCAGCGTTTTCTGACCCAGTCGGCTCCCCACCTCTCTTAAAATCACCCGATCATTCATATGGCGACTGGACCTCACCAAACACCTACTGTGCTGTCCAAAGAAACACATCCAGGACCCACTCCCAGTTGCGCATCTGATCGAGTCTCCTATTGCGGGAATTTCTCTTATGCGAGTGATACTAGGAGACACTACATGTTGCGACTTGTGGGAACCTTCATAATGCCCCTTACACCCGAATTATTGGCAATAAGCTCTCACATATCGATGTGTCACTTGCCTGACTCGCATTATTTTTTTCAAACAAAATTGCGCCAAAGTTAGCCCACCGACGGAGCTGGCGGAACAAAACACCACCAACCATTCGGACACATTATCACAGTCGAGATCAAGTCTAGCGCTCTAACTACGTCTAACTACGCGTCTGAGCTCTGCGCGGAGGCTGAAGCCGCTGCTACTGTGGAGGCGCCCAGGGCAGAAGCGGCGGAGGGGGCTGAGTTCTCAGCGGCCGAGGGATCTCCCTCCCTGTTCCCCACCCACCGTCCAGCGACGATGCTCAGGAACAGCAGCAGGCCCACGTACCGGTTGGAGCGAAACTTGTCCCCGCAGTCGGCGGCGTCGTATATCCGCAATGTCCGCACCTGTGAATGTATCGAACGTATCAAACATACCGGTCGACTCCAAATCGAACAACGCGCTGATGAGCTCTATATTATTACGACATATCGTAAAATATACCAATAACCATACCAAATAGTTTCGTGTAAACTGCAGAAATTAAAAAGAAAAAAAATGAACACACCTCTCACCACGGTTCACATCAAGTACAAAACATCGAGAAAATCACCCCGTTGATGCACACACGTCATACATGCATACCAATGTGCACGCAGTCACCGTCGCTATTACAGTCTCCCATCACACTCCATCGTTCCCAACGGCCACCCACCTGATTTCCGACATGCAGACCGACTGCACCGAGACCCAGGTAGTAGGGCCAGCTCTGTCCCGCCGCCACACCGGCAGCCACCAGGCTGGTCATCATGGCAGCAGAGAACCCTGCCAGCCAGCGCGGAGTGGCGTCCCCGAACCGGAGCGCGGTCGACTTCATACCCAGCGCCAGGTCGTCGGCCTTGTCCTGTACAGGTCAGAGGGAAACGACTAAAATGTTGTTGCTGTTCGATAATTATTTGCTAAAAATACGTCGGATCAATGAAATGGGCTGGTTTGGAAGAAAAAATTCATAAATAGATAACTGCTTGTTGGCTGATTCGAATAGCTCACTTTGATATGAATACAAAGCAACTCAAACAATCGTCTGCTACCGTTCCCCAAAAATCACATTGGAAAGATTGCCGTCACATCACACATGAGTGCCTACTAAGTAAAATGGAACATAGCAAACTTGTTTCCTTGTAACAAAAAAAAAGTTTATATGCCTATGCTCTATCCGCCTAGCGTTAGCCCTCACCTGGTGTGCGTAGATGGTATCATAGACGATCGTCCAGCACACACCCGCGGCGTACAGGGGCAGCGCGGCCGGCCAGTCCACGGCCCCCTGAGCAGACGCCCATGCCATCAGCACTCCCCAGTTGAAGGTGAGCCCGAGCACCAGCTGCGGCCAGTGCGTCACGCGCTTCATCAGCGGGTACAGCAGCACCAGGGATAGAGAAGAGACGCCCAGCAGGATGGTGGGCCAGTTGAGCTGGAGGAGCAGCAGCGCGCCCACCGACAGCTGGGCCGAGAGGAACACGAGCGCGTCCAGCACCGATACCCGGCCGCTGGTGATGGGTCGGCTCCGCGTCCGCTCCACCTGGGGAAGGGGGAGACGGGAGGGAAGTCAGGGGGCGAGCTGGAGTAGGCATTTGCGAGGTGATGAGCTACTGGATAACGGCGAACCGGTAGGACAACGCGCCTGGGACGCATATTTTAGAGCGGCGATTGGCAAACCAAGCACATTCTATACTCGCGATGGTAAAAATTTCGTGACCGATTCGACTGAATGTAGCAAAGTAAATCCTGCAGCGTTTAAAATTCCTTTATATGAAGCAAAACACAAACATCCCTGGCCGGTGCAGTTTACCAGAACCAAGATCAAGACAGTCTGTACAATAAAGCGGATTTTCAATTTGATTACTATATTTAAATGGATATTCGAACGGCCCACGTACCTTGCTGTCGATGTCCCTGTCCCACATGTCGTTGATGGTGCAGCCGGCGCCGCGCATGACGAACGCACCAGCGGCGTACACGGCCAGGAGGGTGGGGTCGGGCAGACAGCCGGCCGGCGCCGCCTGCGCCAGGCCCCAGCCGCACGGCCAGAACAGCAGCCACGAGCCTGGAATGAGGGGGGTCGACATAAGCTCACAGCAGTCAGTGTGGTCGGCCCAAACCCGCCAGCACAACTGTACCCCATGTCAGTGTACGATCCGTGAATCTCGCCAGACGGAATACCCGTCAATTAGTCCTCTCCATTGGACGGAGTCAGACCTTACCCCCCATTATCGGCCGTATCCGCCAGTGTTCATAGTGTGTACGCATCAATACCGCCCATACCCCCTAGCACGTTAGGCACCCATCCCGTGACCTGCGTGACCTGCAATCGCAACTACGGTTTGTACTGCCATTTTTCTTTTACAAATTTAGTCCGAACCTTTTGATAGAAAGGATTCACAAGGACAGAGCCATCGCTAAGCGAAGCTTGTTGCGGTGACCCTGCCCTCTACCCTCCGATCGCGCATTTCCAGTTCTATGGCAGAATTTAGAGTCCAAAGTTTAACGTACGCACATAGCCGCGCACGGCCAGTCCCCTCACTGACTTCACCTGGCTACGGCCTGCCACCAACCACTACCATACCTGTCAGGAGGCCCATAAATGTCAAGCGCCGGTTGCGCTTCGAACCCAGACTATTATAACTGGGAACGCGTGCTCTCACCACGCGGAGTGCGGAGTACTATTTGTTTGTTTATTTGGGGGTTTAGGGCGCGCAGACTGCTAAGGTCATTTTGGGCCCACTGACTGATATAAACATGTGCGGAGTCCAACGCTCACCAACTGAGCTTCGGGACTGGCACTGAGTTACAGGACCGGCCATTAGAACCAATACCAATTATCGGGACTCAACAGTACAATAGCCATGCTCACCTATTGGTCTGTCAACTCTCATCAGCTGCAGGTATGGCTGTACAGCTGTCGGGCAGGAGGCCACTAGCCTCTGGGCTGGAGTCAGGACACTCCTAGAGTTGGGCAGTAGCTCGTCTTGGCTCGGCCGGCTGGGGTGAGCTGCAGAGCCCAGCAGACCAACAGAGGAGCTGAGAAGGCGAGGCGATGGGTCGTGTAGATGTGGGAGTGAGCCCAGACGTCCAGCTAACCGCCTTGGTCCACACAGCTGACAACACGACAACGGTGGACGGAGCCGCATTGACACCAAACGCCTCATGCTGCCCAACAGCATCTGAGAAAAAGTGGAGGGATGTTGTTAAAAAGAAGCCCAGACATATTATAAGCAAATGAAATAATAAGCAGACTTTAAGCAAGCACTTGTGTACAAGTGACTTCTCACACTCAGTGATAGCAGAGCAGAACCATAGTCATTTTGTAGTAGATCAAGCTGATGAACCCTGAAATAAACACTCAAACTAGTTAAGAAGGAACCCACCTAGACAGGAAGGTAGGTACCTAGGTAACTATCTCGTTACAGTTATATAACAATAATGATAATGCCCATCATAGTAATTTGGTAGAAATATAAAACCAGTTCAGATTTCCCCTATCTCCCAATCAATGGGCATGTGAAACAATGAGCTTACCATAGGAAAAATATCAGAAATTTACTAAGCAAGTTTACAAAAATTTATGACATTCATCGAATCAACAGCAGATAAAAATGAAAATTTAACACACAAAATTACATGGCACACAAATACACTGCGTGCGCTGTTATTGTCCTAAAATCGCAAGCATTGTCTTCACAAAAGCCTAGCAAACAGCTGATAATTTTATCTGGTATGCAATTGCATACTAGTAAAAGATGATTAATTTGAAAACGATTTTCTTACGATACAACTTACAGCCTCCTAGGAACACAAAAGTTGTTATAATCTTTTTCAAATGTGTTTTATTGTTTTTTGTACATTTACATAAAAAGTGTGTGAGAAAAATTTTCAACATTAAGTTTTATACTAGCCAAATTATGCCAAAAGATATACCACTATACATACTAGACGTCTGTTTAGAACGGCGATGCCAGCTGGTGTCCGCACTGTTGCTGGGTGATGGAGGGTATGTGAAAGATTAATTGAATTTTGTAATAATTATTTGGATGTGAGCGAATATATGCTGTGACCCGAACTGGGAATCCAGGGCGAAGAAGAATCTGCCATCGAGAAACTCCACGTTTCCAAGGTAATTACGAACACAGCAAAGCGTGTTTCTTTGTTCGCCACTGCGACTGGGAAATTGAAATGACAGACTGCTGAGTGTTTATTCCCAAGCAAAGTCATGTCAGCGGACGATACCACATCCAGTCAGAAGGTGGACACCGCCAGTGTCGGTACGTCCTCCATCAACGCTCGCGATGTCAGTGGAAGTACAGCTAATCTTGTGCACAGTTCCAACTCAGTTCCGACAGACTATGACTATGGTGAATGGATAACTGGAATGGAAATGGAGGGCCGGATATCTCCAGCAAGAAGGTTCTTCTGCCTGCTAGTGACATTTGATGTGCTCTTGTGCTGTATCTTCTGGTTGGTCTGTGTAGTTTTAAGTGGGAAGAATGTGTTTGCCGAACTTGAGGACCAGGTCGTGCACTATTCTGTTGAGACATCTTTGTTTGATGTGGTCTCAGCAGCATTCATCCGCTTCATGCTTCTGATCGTGGTGTATGTGATCATAAGGATGGACCACTGGTGGATGATAGCTCTCACCACAGCTGCCTCATGTATTGCAACTCTATTCAAGATTCTGTATTACCAGTGGCAGTCTGCTTCAGCATCAAATACTTTCCAAGTGACACTTATAGTGTCATTCTTCATCTTAGCATGGCTGGAAGTCTGGCTGTACGATCACAGAGTGATACCTCAGGAGACAAGAGCAAGGCTGATGCTACAGAGGAGAGCTGGCTACACCAACCAGAGGACACCACTGGTGGGTCACCAGCACCAGCACGTCAGGGACTACCTGTCGACATGCACGGGCAGCGTGTCCAACTTCTACTCGCCGATGGGCTCGCCGCAGGGCTCGGATGATGAGGATGAAGAGGGCGCCGGGCCGCGCTCCCGGCTGAGTGAGGAGGACCGCGCGCTGCGGCAGCAGGCCGAGGAGAACTGCCGGCGCGCGCTGGACCTGCTCAACTCCTCCGACTGGAAACAGGAGGAGGAGTTTGACGACGACGACATCCTCTTCTCGCGCCGCGTCGGCTCGCACACGCTCTTCATGTTCACGTGCACGGTGGCGTGCCCGACGGAGACGTTCGCCAACGAGCTGATCCACAACTGCGACCACTGTCCCGAGTGGAACGGCTCGCTGACCTCGTGCCGCCAGCTGCAGCGCATCGACGGGCAGTGCGAGGTGCGCTACCAGCAGACGGGACCGTTCCTGGGCGGCATGGTGTCACCCCGCGACTTCATCAACCTGCGCCTGGCCGGCCGCAAGGGACTCATGTTCTTCAGCTCGGTGGTGTCGATAGCGCACCGCGACGACCCGCGGCCCTCTGACATGGTGCGCGCCGTCAACCGACCGACCATCATCACCATCCGGCCCTGCGTGCGCCGGCCGCGCCACTGCGTCGTCGAGTGGCTGATGAACTTCGACTGTCGCGTGGGTATGGTGCCGCGCCGGATGACCGACCGAGGCACGCGCCAGGCGGCCCGCAACCTGCACTCCTACCTCCGGCAGCTGGGCCGTCGGCTGGCCGCCGCTGAGGTTTGAGAAGAGCCTGCTGAAGTGTATGGTGCTGTAGGTGAAGTATGAGACTGTCACTGAAGTGCAAGGTGTGATCGCCGAAAAGTGAGCCACCACCAAGGTATGAGGTGGCCATGGGATGCGAGACGTCGACACCGAAGTGGGAGGTGCTGTTGCCGTGGCGTGAGGTGCCGCCGCAGGCCTGGGTGCGTTATACTTCTCAGTGGTCACCATGGTTTGGCTTCAGTTACGGATTGTGCTGTGGTGCGGCCGCTGCTCGCTGGTAAGCGCTCGCGGCTATCTCGGGGTCGTGTCAGAGGCTGCTGGTTCTTGTTGGATCATTTGCTGACGTAGGTTTGTGACCGGTTTTTTCTGGAGACCTCGCTCGGTGTGACGGCGGCAGACCAAGAGCCAGACGTGGTTTGGGGTTGTCGATGGATGAGTACCTGATAGCTATCCAGACGGTCGGGTCAGTATCAAGGATGTCGGCTCGAAGAGCAGTGTTCATTCCTGAAAGAGGCTTCCTAGTTTTTGAAACGTTTGGCGCCTTCCATGGCGATTGACTAGATATTGAACGTTGTCTCATACTGTGATTTGAACATGCTTTCAGGTCAATGAGAATATCAGTTTGGCCGCCAAACTTCGAGTTAACTAGACGTGTATAGCTAGAGCATGACATGTATTTGTATACAACCTTACTCGGCAGACCGATTTATTTATCTTATATGCTACGACGTGTTTTCTTAGCATTGTTTGGTAACTGTACATTTTGTGTTGCCTTGCACTGACATTATACGCTCATGAATATACCAATCAATCTTGCCACTTTCCTCTACGACTGTGGTCGCTAATCGGTAGATAGGTTAGGTAAGGTTAGTAGTTACGTAGTAATCTCGTTTGTCTGTGTAGCTAAAGGGTGGCAGTGTTGTGTTTGACCAACTATATCGCTCTTCGCACCTAATTATTAATAATTTCCTCACCAGACTATTGAGACTATCGGTATGACACGTGAGAACACGGCCCGTGGTAAAATCGTTACCACACTCTCACAGCGACATGGATATACCCAGCTCCCAGTTCAAAGTGCACGCGGTTCGTGCCACCGACTATAAACAAGTGGCCCTCCGCAGACAGATGGCTGGCCGAGTCGCGTGGCGTGTCGCTAGGCCGGCCCGAGCTAGATATATCGGGATAGAATGACTGCGAAGTGGGTGTGCTTGTGACTCGTAGGAATAGCTACTATCGTGAAGTCAATCTTGTTAGTTTCGTACTTATTTCAATCAGCTTTGTCGAGTGATGATCTGCCATGGTAGGAATCTAATGTTTCTAGTTACGAATTTGCTACCGTTCCGTCCAGATCTGCCGTTCTGAGCACTATTGTGTCGTGCCTATCCTCTTTATCAGGTGTCATCCGTCCTGGCGCATGAATCGTGTAAACAGACCGTAAGATGTTCGACTTGATCCACGCTCGAATCGCGTAAAAAGTTATGGCGAAGCTCTACGGCATGCATATTGGGAAGTCTCGGTTCGTTTCTTTAGCCAATAACGCCCCAATTCAGGTGTGGCCTGCCACAGCTGTTCGTGTTTCTGCTCTACGAGCTGAGTGTTCAGTCTATTATATCCGACTTTCCCGACAGACAATTCGCTACAGAGCTGGTTTCCATCTTATCTCGGTATCCAGATAAGGTTACTTGGACTGCTAGTGTTTACTAGACTTGTAGCGCCCTTCAGTGTTTTGTTTTTCTTGTAAAGCATATCTTAAAACGGGCAAATCCGAACCACTTGTCCATTTGTCGTCCGGGCTGAAGCGCATATGCAGGGTGATAATGGTCATGAAGCTCTATAAGCTTGGTTATCGTATCTGTCGTATTGGGTTTGAAGGTTGACTTCCCTGCTCATTGCTCAATGCCCATGGCTGGTACTGGCCGGTTTGGCGTCTACCGTGGACTATGGAGTCGCTTCTCGTTCACAGCAGGCTTCTGTCACGGGCGGCTGTCGCGACTGGTTTTGGCCGGCTGGCTCTGTGTGCCGTGGGTCTGACGCGGGGGGGGGGGGGGCTGGGGAGTCGAGGAGGGGGTCTGAAGGACGAGAGGCGAGTACCATGGGCTCGCCTTGGGTTGTAATTCCTTATCAGAGCCTGCTTAGTGCTTACATTTGGTTTATGTAGCGTATCTTGCGTTTACTGCATGCAAGGGCTATCTCGTAAGTTAATTAGATATCGGTATGATATTCGGCCTCCATTCGTTAACATGCTCACGAGGTAACATAAAAGTTTAGCCCTCCTGGCCGTCCCTTTAAAATGCATTTTTGTCCGATAGGCATTATGATAGCCACTGCATTCGGCAAACACTGTCCACTTTTTCAGGCGACCTTTGATACGTTATCGATCTTATTTGGAGCGGTTAAAAACATCTGACTGATAGGGACATAACCTCAGAGTTGAACTCAATGATTACAACTTTATCTGGCAAGCATTAACCAATAACCAAATATTGGACCAGCTGTGCTGATCTGAGAATGAGCGTCGGCTTGCATATAAGGCACGTAATACAAGTGTTCCCGGCCACGCTGCGCAGATACTCACAAATGGCATGATGAGGCGATTTTCGGTCGATAGGTACGTCAATCGAAGTCTTTACGCTACCACTGCGGGAACGAAGTGGTCGATATCTTCCACCTTTCCAACCCTCAGTGTCCCAGTCTACACACCGGTCTTGACTTACAGAAAAACTCGTCCAACCTAAACCAGTGGCATGGCTGTCCTGCTCGCATTTTAAACTTAGGTAGGTAGGTACTGTCAACGATATAAAAGATATGTAGCACGTTGCAGGTATCTGTTGCCTAAATATGTGGATAATTCGTGGATGAGGCGACCTGCCTACACAACAGACATGAACATTGAACACATAGGCCAATCCCTTGTGGCACCGAGGGCTCTAAGCTTCCTCATTTGACGCCTGGGCAGTGTCCGAGCTCACCCGTGAGTGTTTTTAGTGTTACGCGTCGGAGACGTTCCAGACTCCGTATATCGTCTGACTGCGGCCAGACCTATTATGTGTCGTTGTCTCACTGAACAGGGGCGGACTTTGTCTCTTGGATGAGAGTCGGTCGTCAGGCGGCGCCTTCTCCCGTTTGCGGTTATTCCACGTTTTTACAATTGGTGACACTCCCCGGGGCCGCGTGGCGCTTTATCGTAAAATAATCATATCCTCAAATATGTCACATCATCGCGTAACTAAAAACGCCATTTGACATGTTTTTAATAGGTTTTATGATTCTCCCTCTCCAGATTACGTACAGATTGAATACCTATAAAGACAAGGAGGGACATTATAACTCGAGGTATAATGTTTACCAGTCAGCGATAGAGCAATAAACACTCAACACTGGAGCAGGGTGATCCGCCTCTGCGCCGCCCCACCACCGGACAAATCTGGGCAGCACCGCCTCAGTGACTAAAACAGTGTACCTGTTAGATCTCTATCATGCACGCAGCTCTTCCGAGGACCTTTATGGTCGACAGTCGTTCAGCGGTTTGTAAATGCCACACTCCACATGTATTTAAGAGTGGGGTGTTCCAGTAGTGGCGGAACACCTTCAATTAAGGGGGAGGGGGGCACTACTGCCGACTTTTGGTCCCATTCTTTCCATGCAACGCCCATAGGGCTAATGTTGAAATGCCAAAATCAAAGGGGGGCACGGTGCCCCGGTGCCCTGCCCGTTCCGCCGCCTATGGGGTGTTCCTTTCGAATCGGGAGGGCACTTGTCAAATTTAGGTGCGTTGCCACGGGAAAACGTTTGGTTGAAGTACCTAACTAAGCAGTATTTAATCACTGAGCGAGACGGGTAATCAGATACGATTCCACGCACGCTTGGTAATCGGCTCGGATTTCAGCGGACTGTCAAAGCTGGCCTTTCTGTGCGCGGGTGATAATAAAGGTCGTTCCACCCGCACTTTGCCAACTTGTACTTGCGACATATATTTGACTTTCGTCTTTCCGATTTATACCGGCCACCGCGACCCGCAAGTTGCAGAACATTTTCGGTACCTATACATGGCAGTGACGAACGCTGAAAAAGGTTACAATTCCGAAACGAATTATAGAACAGACGGGATGGGAGAAGATGCCAACACAGAACAGGACATAAGAATTGTCTTGGACCGGCGCAAATAATTGCATTTTCTATTTCTTATCAACATACTGGCGTGTATAGCATAAAAGCGACGTGATAGATCGCTTATTACCGTCTACCACTTTGACAATCCATTCCTTTGCAGTTTGCCGGCACAAGCGAGACAGCCCAATTGACCGCGATGCGGCTTTCATTACGCCCACTCGACCATATTACGACTACACGCGTCACAGCCGAGTGCCGAGAGCATGTTTGTAGGCTCTCCTCTGGTGCTGTCAGATCCGATTTTCGATCCATTATCTTATCTCTACGGTCAGCCGATTCGACGCAACCATTCCATCTCGCAAACATCTACCACGGGTCGGTCGGGAATGATAGGCGGACAGCTGACGGACGGCACGGCGGCCACTAGCGACAGGTTATACGCTGTCTACTCGTATATACTCTGGATTATACTGTCGGTATAGGTATTTGAAGAATAACGCCTAATGTTTGAATAACTATGTCGAAACCGGACCGGCGAAACGATACACTTGCGGCTGGATAACGTAAGTGTGCAGTGCAGTGTTGTGCAGAACACTTATCTCGCTGCCTCTGTCTGCTACTGTGCTGAAAACAGAGAGTTGCAACAAGCTACATCCGTAGTTGCATAACAAGCCTCACTGGCCAGGGGCCTGCTTCGCCCTGCTGAGTACATTATAATTTCATCCCCATGCTCCCATACGGTGGTCAATAATCTGAACTTTTTGCATTACACCCATCATCCGCTTTATGGCCCGGCTCATACTCGTCGTCTAACAATCAAGTCTCTAGGTGCCTGGCGGCTGGCGTTTTATTATTGTCGAGCGACGCCGTCTCTGGATAAAACATAGGCCGAATGTGCTGTCTATGACGCTCACTAGCGTGTCAACACAATAACGCATGCGTTATTGTGTTTACACGCTAGTGAGTGCATGTTGAGTAAGACCGTCGATTGCCCACGATTGAACCCCAGGTGCACTCATCTGGCTGGCGATGTATCGGCACATGTCTTACACATCTCTCCTGTCGAACCGGATTTTCCAGGCGGCCGGCGGCTAATGTCGAAATGTGATAATTTATCTGGAAATAATTATTTCCGGTAGCTGCATGATAAGTTATAACTATTTGATGACGACTTCCGAGAAAAGAGTAAATGATACCGATTTCAGATTTGTATTATGAATGTGCATTTGATGCGTCCAAATAATTATTATTTTGACTAAAATGTATTGAAAACTTAAATGCTTTAGGTGTTCAGGTAACGCATTAGGTACGTTGTTTGAATGTTAAGCACCCGTCTGTCACCCTTAGAAAGTCTTTCGACTTCATGGTCATTCTGCACTGATGACTAACTTTAGGTACCAGCTGCTGAGCTGACCAGGGTCTCGGCTGTCGACCGATCTGTGAAACATAAACGTGAACACCACGCCATGCCCAGTCAGACCAGTCATATGCCACTGCCTGGCAACAGAAGCACGCTTCAGAGCCAGACGAGATGTAAACTTGGATATGCAAACCTAACTGCCTTTTAGTGGCCATCCAACGTGCCAGTCAACAGACGACCGTTTGGACGATCTTTGGAGCGGTCTTATATTGATATAGTTCGGTCTTGGGGCTGGGCGGCGGCGGTGCCGGTCAAAAGTCGTTGGGGTTAATAACTTCTCAAAAAGGTGGTGATCGATGAGCTTCCATTCAGTAGCCAGCGTTTCCACGCCTTGACACGAGTCGACGCCCGTCTACATCGTTTATTTGATCGAGTTAACCGTACCACTCTCCTCACGACGGGACTGTGGCGATGCATTAGTCTCTTCTCTCTTCGTAAATGTCCGACCCGGCGCGGCGCGCCACATGCATCGAAAATACCTCGCTGCGACTGTCAATGCATTGATTGATCTATGATCTGTCTAGTGTAGGTAGGTATGCCTGCGTGTTCTTGCAATAGACGTCGTCCGTTCACAAAAACATGCCCTCCGCGGCCGGCCGGGCCGTGCGACGCGGCTGGGAAGGCCGTCGCCAATGACAGAGGCTTCCCTCTCCCTACGACGGCGAGGGGCGGCCGATCTCCCGTAGTTTTAGGATGTAGTTTTATATAGCGCAGCCCTCGGCGTGTGTGGGTCCGGCGAGGGGCGCTACCCGAGCGCTGCTGCCCCCTGCCGCTGTCGGTGCAGGGGAGGGGCGGCCTGGAGCTCGATAGCTGGCGAGCTAACGAGAGGAAGGAGAGCGCGGAGGGCCCGTGCGAACGTGCAACAGCGCTACCGAAGGGCTGGAGGACGGGACGGATATGGCGACTACCAAAGGAAAAGTGCAGACAGGTATGTTGTCAATTGTATTGTCGTACATATAATGTGTTTAGCGAGTTTATATACAGAGTTCGTGATTTGTTATTCGTTATGCATACCTATATGCTTACCAGCAGAGGTATAGGTACATAAATGTGTGTTATGCTTACTTAAATGACTTATTTAATCAGAAATGCAAAGACGCGATAGATGTGAATGTTGAGTATTGCTGCCGTTTCAGCACTGCTCCCGGCGTCCTTGACTAATGTTGATGTTAGTGTACGTCACGCTCCCGCAGTCCTGGGCCTGGTGGAGCCCTCCTCCCTGGGAGTCACCATGATGCACGAGCACATGCATCTCGACTTCAACGTGGCCTTCATACCGCCGGAGGGCAAATATGCCCACAAGGCAGACTGCGATTTCACGCTGGAAAACTCCGGCTGGATTCGGCAAAACCCGTAAGCGAGTGAGGAATGACTGCACCTAACCATGCTTTGCTAATTATCATTTAATTTTTGTCACTTATGTGTCGATCGGACGCTTTAAATGCCCGATCGACCAGGACCTTCGGTATACCTGAATGCGGCTTTAGCACAGCCTATATCTGGATGTAAGTCGCACACCTACCTTATTGGCTATAGCTTGATGTGATGTGGAAAGAAGACGCCATTTAACCATCGTTTCTGCCGCGCACAGGTACGCCAGCCGTCAGAACGTCACGTTCTGTGACGCTGCCGTGGACGCGGCGATGCGTGACGAGCTGCGGACGTACCGGGAGAACGGCGGCGGCGCCGTGATCGAGGTGACCAACTACGGTATCGGGCGGGACGCCGCGCTGCTGGCCGCCTACAGCCGGGACACGGCCGTCACCATCGTCACCGGCACAGGTCAGAGGTCACCGGGGTTCGGGTCAGAGGTCACGGGGTACGGGTCAGAGGTCACAGAACTAGGGGTCCTAGCGTCCTAGCCAAGCGTCCTACGATAGGTAGATGATTCGCGGAATTCCAACTTTGTCCGAGTTTGACGAAAAAAGAAACACGGCTTAGGGTCGTTTTTCCGTTGTTTAAAGACGGACTGATAAAAATATGCACTTATAGTTGTGGAAATACTAGGTACAATGCAATATCCACAATTTGAACATTTTGACCTCGTAACCTATGATAGGGGAGAGTGGGGTAAGATGCCCAGGGTGGGAAAGACGCCCCACCCCCTCTAGCGGCAAAACAAAGAATCGAACCTGGAAATTAATGTTCTTAGCGTAAAGCGGAAGCCTGCCTTGTCAACTGCACACAAATTTGCGAAGCTCAGTTTGGCAACGGCTGGCTGGTGATTGAATGTTTTTTATTTGCTGCTTTCGAAAAATATTTTGGTGTCAAAACATTGTAAATATCAAAGAATGTAAATAATTTTTATGTTCCTTGCTATGGTCGTGATACATCAACATGCGTGTACTGTGTCCCAAACAGTTTGTTTCAGGGTGTAGTTTTATGGCTAACAAATTGTACTGATTTAATGTTAATTCTGCACCTTGGGGTAAGATGCCCCCTGTCCTGATGGGGAAAGACACCCCCCTAAATCCATAGGCTGTCCTTCAAGCAGCCCGTCAAATCATTTATTACATACTTGTGATGAGAGACAAAAGCCGATCTGGGACTATTGAGAGTCCAGTACGGTCGGGAGCTCCCCATGCCGGTCTCTCCGCCCCCACAGCGACTTTTTGGGCGGCATCTGACTCTGAGAGCCCTCACGACGGCCTCTGTGGGCCCAATTATTGGCTCCAGGGCCCCTCACGACATCCTTTGAGGGCTCCCACGTTGCCTCCACGGGCCGCGCTGGCATCTGAGGTCCCCACGATGGGCTCGAGGGCCCTCAAGCATCATGAAGATCTATAAGGGCCCCACAGTGGTCTCCGAACGCCACCACGGAGGCTTGTTTGGCCGCGTTGGACTATGATGGCCCTAACGATGACCTCTGAAGCCCCTTACGACTACTTTTGAGGGCTCTTACGATGACGTTTGGTGTCTACTGCAGGCTCGAAGGGACTACTGATTCGTTCAGTCGATTCACGTGCCCATTTATATCACTTATAGTGCAGGGGGCATCTTCCCCAACGCCAGGGGGCGTCTTTCCCACCCTGTGGGGTAAGATGCCCCCTTTCACTTCTTCGGGAAAATGCGTGATAGCCAAAAAAGTTATCATATTTCAGGCACGAAAGTGTGATATTTTTGGAGAAAAATGATGTCGGCTTCCGTTGAAACTCCAAGTTTTTGCTTTTCGATCGTCATTTTCGAATAATATGACATAGTAAAACCCTGGGCATCTTTCCCCACTCTCCCCTAATCTCGACCTAGCCCATGAACATGGACATGATCATGAACAAGTACACGACCGCTTGAATTGAAAGGGCAATGAAAGGTGTTAGGGGGGTCACTCATGCATTAGTGCCAGCTTCTGGTCCGTTCAATGTCATGATTTCGCCTGGTAGGTATGGCCTGGTCAAACAACAACTAACAAGTTATCGGGGAAAAACCATAGAGGTGGATGAAAAAGGCTAACATTTTGTGTTTGGCCTGATCTGATCTGTAACGTCCTCACTCCTCAGTGACCTGAAAGCTGAAGGTAAAATTTTGCCCGCTTTTCTGAGTTCGCATAATGCCTACGGAGCTTTCAAATGTTGTAAAAATCGGTCGGTAACTTATTGGGGGATCTTAGGGGAGCTGGGACGGGGCCGGAACGTCCCCTTTCCGCTGCGGTTGGCAAATGGCAGGGTCCGGGAATATCTCTACAAACAGGACGCGGGTTAAGTTGGATCACTTTTCCTTTGGGTCGCATCACCAGCAATTGCAATCCAAAGGTCTATCAGCTCAGTTCAGTTACGTTACGCACAGAGGCGGATCCAGCTCAAGAGTTTTTTTTTGGGGGGGGGGGGCAAACCATAACAATTTATCGATTCTTTCCATGCATCGTCCATAGGCGTAATGTTAAAATTATGCCGTTTGGGGGGGGGGAGCAAATGCCCATTTTGCCCCCCCCCCTGGATCCGCCACTGGTTACGTATCTTTACGGATACGTTCCGGCGGCTCGCAAGCCGCCTGGTGGTCCAGCAGTTTCAGTTTTTGCCGCTAGATGGCCCAGTCACTGCGCGTCGCTTCATTCCTCATTTTTATAATAATTCGAGTTTCAATTATAGATGATTTAATTTATAACAGCCGTTTGACAATCAATTGACAAATGGGAATAAAAAGGCCATAGTATCATATAAGCAGTAGTAATTACGAGCAATTGCTAATAACTACAATTTAAATAATACGCGCTAATGGAACGAGTTTTGCAAGTGAATGGATAAACAAGGATTACTTTCCTTATCCGCACACAATGTCGTTCCGCCGGGGACACACAGCTCGGGTGTCGGGGAACTGGCCCCCGAGGGGCGTGTCCGCGGATGAACATTTTTATTTTCCTCGATGATCCGAAAATCCTTCTCGGCTACACCACAGTGTATCAGTATACAAAAATACACAGTCTATACTTAGTCTATAACGCGCGCTGCTATGCCGCAGCTTACCGCACGCTTACCACAGCTTCTCGGCAAACGTTGCGATTTTTCCAATACGCATCAGTTTTCGCTCGTGTAAGGGTACGAGGTACGATACAGTGGGTACTGGGTAGTGGGTAGTAGGCAGTATTTATCTTATTAGGCAGTATTTGAAAGCAAAAATGGGCGGTACGTGACACATCGCATTGCTCTCCTGTCTGTCCTACTCCTATCCTAGCAACCATTTTCTGCGGTTTCCGTTTCCCGCTCAGCTGTGTTCGTAATGCTACTTCTTTGCTTATTTGTTTATTTACCTTTTTCGATAATCGCCAGAAGGATTCAAACGTATCTCCATGTCAAATTTTACAGGATTCTACCAGCACATGTTCCAGTTGGAGTCGGACCTCGCGCTAACCGTTGAAGAAATGCACGACCGGGCGCTGAAGGACATCACGGACGGATGCCCTGAGGCGCCACTGGTCAAGGCCGGGGTTATCGGCGAGGTCGGATCCGGCTGGCCAATCCATGGTGAGATCATACTTAGGTAAAGGGAATGAACTGTGTTACTTGTTCAGCGTAAGTCGATATATAAGACACTTAAAGTCGGTCAGAGAGACACCTTAAAGTGACCATCCCACCTTAACATTAGCAGGGGCGGAGAATTGTCATAATCCCAGGGGGTGCTTTTCAGCACCTCTTGCGAATGGAAGCGTCGATTTTTTTTTTGCGTAGAAAAGCACATATAAGTACGCTTTCCCAAAAGCATCACTATTATCGCGGCTTACGCAAAGCAGTTGACACGAGATAAGACATCGTGTCTTATGCAAAGTATAAGACACGATACTCCACCAATATCTCATCGAACCTTTTCAAACTGCAAATAGTTCTCGGACTAAAACATTAATTGCGGTAGAAAGCCTCTACGAAGCGTCTCACTGCTTGTCGTAAACACCACCCCACTGTTTATTTCTTCAGTGCTGACACCTAGGTTATACAACCCTGGCCTGCAAATGCCCCGCCACCTGCAGCTCATTTATCACATATCTGTCTCCGCCTGCGGTTGGCAGATTTTGAGCGCCGAGCCATCCAGGCGGCTGCCCTGGGGCAGCAGGCCACCGGGTGTCCGGTGAACTTCCATCCGGGCCGAGACCCGGCCGCCGCGCCCGAGGTGCTCAGGATCTTCCAGGAGGCAGGCGGAGACGTCTCCAACTGTATCATGTCTCACTTGGACCGTACGTAGTCAGACGTTACAGGCACGCGCAGTATAATGTGCAGTCCGTGCTTGCATGCCGATAATGTAGCCATACGGGCAGCCTGGCTGCTAGGGCCTATCATTTTAATGAGTTTCTCCAATCACTGGGTCGACCCGTTTCTAGTTACATTTGACTTTTTCGTCTTATAACACGAATTCGCTGTAACATCGATGCAAGAACGAAGTGCTTATACCGTTATATTGATTCGTGTGAATGCTTTATGACGTTTTAAACATTTAATTACTTCTCCTTACTCAACGAATCGCAGGTTCCATCCAGACTGCAGAAGGACTGTCAGAGTTCGCCAAGATTGGCAGCTACCTGGAGTTTGACCTGTTTGGGATCGAGACCAGCCACTACACGCTCGCTCCCCATGTGGATATGCCGTCTGACGCCCAGCGCATTCAGCGAATCAAACACCTCGTGGAGGACGGATATGAAGACCGTGTGGTCATCAGTCACGACATTCACACCAAACACAGACTGGTGAGCAAACAGGGACCCGAGTCCAGCAAGAAGAGTCCGTATTTGTGGAAGCAAATATCCTAATACGCACGTCGCACGTACTTTTTGTTATTGATTGTCGGTTGGGTGTGGGACTGTTATGCCTTATACGCACCAGCCAAAACACGTTTTCCGTTTTCGACTGTTTCAGACAAAATTCGGCGGTCACGGATTCTCGCACATTCTGGAGAACGTCGTCCCAATGATGAAGGTTCGCGGGCTCACAGAGGAAACCATCAACAAGATACTGTCTACCAACCCGCAGGCAGCCATGACATTCAAGAAGTGATTTGTTGATGTGTTACATGACAAATAAGGGAACATCAGTTCTACACGTATAAGGATACTAAAAGCCTACTTCTGTCATTCATTCATGCCATCGGCAAATGAAAAATTTGCATCTAGATTCTAGAGTGCAGGTCTTCCAAGTGTGTCTCGACGTTCTTATGGAATTATCAGCACGCTTTTATTCAACTTAGTTACCAAGTTACGACCGGTACCGATGAACACAATATCGTCTCACGAGGATAAGCCTTGTTTATACAATGTCTTACCCCGGATTCGGAGTCTTCCCGATGACGAAGATTCTACGTCGTCCGGCCAATGGTGTTCGAGGTCAGCGGGGGCTTGGCTGTGGTTGTCGGACGGGGTTGGCCGGGGGCCGGACGACGTGTAATGTTCTTCGTCCGAGGAGACTACGAACGCGGCCTTAGTGTGAGCATTAGATAAATGATTTCTTCTTCGAAAAGCGAAACCGACCCCGTTACTTTTTTGGGTATTGGTTTGGCGTTTGCCTATTGTAATATATTGTGCGAATAAGTTTTCACTTTTCTTGGTAAGTAAAGAACCCGGTCGATGCCGGAAAGGTTTAGATAGGTAGGTACTTAAAATTCGTCAGATAGTAAAATTGATGCGGATTAGGAGACTCGAGCTTCCTCACATCCATAATATCAGTGCACTGCAGTGTCCAAAGTACCACCTAGCTACTGCAAATAGCCCGCAGTAGCACACAATATTGTCTGAATGGACGATGAATCTCGTTTGTCCGTACTCTGTAGCTATAACATTGATATATATTATATAACATTGATAGGCATTATAACATTGATATTACCTGTAAGAATCTTGGATATTACAACATAATATCAATGTTATATATTGCTATTATGCTATCATTTATTGCTATTATAACATTGATAGGCATTTTGTTAGGCTACAGTGCTTATGTTATGAAACTATATAATAAGCGCCCCGTAGCTTTGCTCGAAGTTTATGCTATAGTTTGTTTGATTTCATCCTAAATAATTTTATCATCACACTGTATGATAAAAATATAGCAAATACTTTATAATTGCATGCATTCATTCACCACAAGTCCGGGACATGCAGCAGCACGTTTCATTCAGTAGCCTCATTCTCTATTGCTGGGACATCTATGACGCGACTATGACAGAAACAAACTTTTCTACTGCACGTAGTGCATTGAGTACGTGTCACCGAGCCCGCCGCAGGCTTCCGATTATCTTTCTCTATTTTCGGCTCGTTTGCTTGGAGTCTCGGCTTGTTTATTGAAAAGTGAGTGCTTTCGTTTCAGCCAAGTATCTTTCAGCTATACCATCTCACTCTCATCCCTTCCTGTTCCCATTCCTGGGCTAATTATAATCAGCATCAATTTTAGCAACAACTTAGCTTAGGTCCCTACCTAAGTAATTTTCGGTGATACGACGTTCCAATTAAATTGTCACTAAGCAGCATTTGATGCACAGCCCCAAGGTTGAGACTGTGCGCTCATCTATCCAGGCTGGATTGATTGACGTGGTGAAGGGGCGGGCCAGCATGATCGTACCGTACTGCAGTTTCTGTGCTTTGAGCACAAAGTGAGAGTTCTGGTTAGCAAATAGCACTTGCCAGTGGATGAGGTGCTTAACCCAAATTGTATGTCATTGTGTTGTATTTGTTGTTTATATTTATTGCAATAAAAATGAAAAATAACATTTTGCCCCAAACAAAAAGGCTGACTAAAAATCTGATGGATTGTTAGGGGCTAGGGCCTCCTTTAGCTACAAGCAAAAGGATTCTGATATATTCTTATTGTAATTATAATGATAATGATGCAAAAGCAACTTTCTATCCATTTAATGTGTACCTTCATTCTGATTCATCCATAGGACAGGTAGGTAGTCAATCAAAACTTTATTTCTTGATGAACCTTAAAATTGGGCTTCCGCAGGCAAGGCGAATGGTACAGTGCTTACCTTCATTCATAAATCACTTTGAATCAGTAAACTTTAAGCAGTAAATTTGAATTAAAACTATTTCTTTACCAGCCTAGCAAGTGGGCTTTCTCTCTGGCTGGTATCTGCTTTGTTTTTGTTGTTTTGTGTGGTGTTACCAACAGTCTATATGCTTCCCAATATTTCTTGCTGATATTGCTGTCTAAGCTCTATGATTTGTAAATTAAATATGTACAGTTGTTTAGTTTGCTGATTGACTAACTATAGCTGACATTAGGGTAAGTACCTAAATACTTATCTCTTATTTTTGTAGTACCCTTAGCTCAAACACGTAAACAAATTCTAACATGTCTTATTTGGCTTGCTTTGTTTAATAGATCTGTGTTGTTATTGAAGAGAAGACATATACAAACTTGAAACTTTTCACTGAAGATATGTCTTCACATTGTCAGTCCCACCGTACTGGCTCTGGAGTGAGGTGTGATTTTGAAGCACTGAGCTGTAAAGTGAGCCCTTTATGAGGCACAGTAGAGATGAAGTCCTGAAAATCTGCTGTTTCAAAGCCTTTGGAAAATTTAGCAGTGTTCATTCTGCTAATGGGTACTGGTAGCATAACTGGCAACTCATTTCAGCTTACTTTTCAGCCAGCTTTGAGCCCTTTATAAGAATTTCCTAAATCCTTAATCATTTCGCCCAATGTCTAGTTGTCAATGTTGTTTTTTTAATGTCTAGCTGTCTTTTTGAATGCTTGGCTCAGGCCATGATAAATGTCATCATAATGATTGACTTTTGATCAACAACTTGTGGATCAAGAAATGTAGTCCTTTGTTACGTGATACTCTTTTTTTTGCAAACCTTCATACCTCATTTAATGATTTTTTTTCAGATTGATGATTGAAAGGCTGAGGATGAGCCGGCTGGCTGTGCTGACAGCCATGCTGGCCATGCTGGCCTTAGCCCAGGTGGCCAGCAGCCAAGATGACAGTGAAAAACACTCTGCAGTTGTACCAGAACAGGAGGAGGAGGTAAGCTGTCAGCTGAGGAAATCAGTCTTAGTTCTATCACATGATAATCCATTGTGGTTACTTATCTTGTAAGAAGTAATTGCAGACCTTATTTTTCTCGCATTCATAAACAGTGAAGTATCAGCCTTACATCAATATTCTGGTGGTAATGGTCTGTCCAACTGTCCCTCAGTTACTCCAGGTGTGGTGAGTTTGGCTGAATTACTTTGATGATAATCGCCACGTAGGTTTCCCTCATTACTTGTCCCCCCATGTAACCACAGGTGGTTCACTTGTTAAATCTACCACCCTCACCAGTGCAAGACATAATCGCTGCACATTGACAGGTGGTCGCCACTCTCCTCGCCCATTGCCCGCGTAACCACATAGGACCACGTGGAGTTGCGCCAATGTCCGACCCCGTCCACTTATCGGTCTTGAGGGGTTACTCACTGCCCAATTAATGATGCATTTAACAGGTCACTGACCGCAGGGCAATTAACACGTCTCCCTTGCATGGCGTGGCGACAATGACCGCAACAGCTTGCCACCCTGAAACCCGAATAGCGATCATTACGTTGTCTCTTGACCTTTCGATGACGGTGCTCCACTTCTCCCCCTGTTTACCCACTGACTACCCACACTGTTTCGTGATTTGATCTGTAGAAGTGTGACTGCGCCCACGTGTCCTAGTCCAGATAATTACCCTTCACGTGACCACCCCTTCCCCCAGTTGGCGGCGGTTAGCTCCTCCTCCGCCACCGAGAAGCCAAAGGGCTCCCTGGACGTCAGCTTCACCCACGGCTTCGTGGCCTCCCTCTCGGTCATCATCGTGTCCGAGCTGGGCGACAAGACCTTCTTCATCGCGGCCATCATGTCGATGCAGCACTCTCGGCTGACGGTGTTCCTCGGCGCCGTCGCCGCCCTCTTCACAATGACCATTCTCTCAGGTGAGCCGGCCGACCATGAGAACGGACTGGGGACTGGTGGAAATCCATTGAAGGATGAGGGTGAAAGGACTGAGATTGAAACGTCGACATATATCGCCCCTCCAATCTGAATGATTGTACCGCTTGTATGGAGGCAATGTAAGATACTACAAATGTAATTGCCATGCACTTTGCATAATACAATGGTGAATTTGAAAATATGATCATTAAACTATACATTAAAAGAGTAGCTTTGGGTCGGTTAAAGGCTATTTTCAACAACGCACTCCTGATCATCCTTCTTACTGTCGGATAGTAAGGACGCAAATTACCAACTTGCAAAAAAAAAAAAATCGGTTCACTGCTGCACTGCAGGCATTGTGTCACGTGCGTCCAGTCTGATACACTGGCTTTGGCTATCTCTCAGTACCTATCAGTGTGTACAGGCCACAGCGGTTGGGCGCGAACCGGTCACATGACTGTGAATTGTCGCCGAGCGGGGAACTGGGTCAGAATGAGCAGATGCCAAGTACGGCCAGGTGCCAAGTTTCCCCGCTCTCTGTGACTGATAGCGCTGAGAAACCTCCACGCTCGGGGTCGTAGAGGAGACCGCGTGTTTTGTAGATATAAGATGAGAAATGATATCTGTCTGGTCTATACACACTACACACTTAGCCGAGGGTATTGAATGTTATTAATTATTGTTATTTTCATTATTATGATGATTATTATATTACTTTTTACCAATACACCGCAAATCGCGACAACAATCTACGTCACATAAAACACTGTTTAACCCGCGCCCGGCTGGGGGTCCTGGATTTCCACGCCCTGCTGGGGGGGGGGGGGGTGTTTGAACACCCCCCTTGTAACTCGGCTCCTGGGCCACGTAGCGATACGCGGAAAGCGGCGTTCGAAAGAGCGTCAAAAATAATGAGGAAATCACTTCGGTCAATTTTTTGGTCAGGTCAAAGGTCAGGTCACCAGAGGTCATTGAAGGCAAAATTTCGCCGATTTCCAGGTCGAATGTCGAAAATTTCCAAGAAGCCAACGCATAACTCGGGAACCAATAGAGCTACAGCGCCGCGGAAAAGCGCATTCGATAGCCCTATTAACGCCCTTTCTGAGTAATTCTCTCAGATTTGACCTAACGTCAACGGTTTTGCCTGCAGGGGGCAAAAACTGCAAAAATAGCCGATTTTTTTCGGAAACAGTTTTTCTGCAATGACTTTTGACCCAAGCCTTGTACGAGCTTACTTTCACCAGCATCGTGTTCCTCTCGTCAAGACGCATCGAATGAACTATAACTTGACCTTGAAAGGTCAACTTGAAAATTTGACCTCAGGTCAAGGTCATGACCTGACCGGAAAGGGTCATGTTGCATATCAGTCGATCCGTATCGTCGAGCTGAACACATCTAAGGCGTTTTCATCGCTCTAGCATGCCTCTATCAAAAGTTATTTGCGAAAAACTGTTAGATACCATTCGTGACCTAAGATGACCTCAGGGCATAAACAAGGGTCACGGACACCATTTTCATGTTCAGTGTGTCTAAACCACTTGTAATTCGGTGTTTGGGAGTGTTTATAATGTCTTTCATCCAAAAGAGGCGCATTTCAATTTTCTCCCATTGACTTATAATGGGGAGGTCGC